GAACGAGCCGAAGACAATGTGAGAGGGCAACTCTTTAAACCTAATCAGTATAGGAAAAGTAGTTTGAAAATGGCAACATATTTCATAAAATTTGTACAAAAAGAAGGGCGGACAAAGACTTCCCAAGTGAATGGGTCGAACGCCTGAAAAGTCGAGACCCCCCTCCATCTCAGGCATCCTCCCAGGAGAGCAAAGAAGTCTCAACTTCCTCCAGCCTACACCTACTTCCAAATGAAATTGATAACACCGATTCTAACCTGGAATTTGTAAGTCTCCAAGTGGATATTCGCTCTGACTCCTCACCGATATCTATGGACACCTCAGATTCCCACCCTGATCTCATTTCTGACCAACAAGATCATACTCTACCAAGGATGCAAGTACCAGAATTAATTATCAACACAATGAGTAATAATAATAACAACTTATCAGTGCCATCAACGGACTAATGCTCTTTCATCTATAAAATTCTCCATAAACTACCAACGTAGAAGAACCTCCAGGTTACATCATCTAACTAAACTTAATCTATTTTTTCATGTCATTTTCTCTATTTTTCTGGAATATTCACAGCATACGAGCTAACGGCTTCGACATTAACGATTTTCTACTGTTGAGATAGTCAAGATGGAGTGCTTTTGTATCGTTTTCCTTCATGTTCGTCATTCGTATTGAATTCCGAATAAAGCTATGAAAATCTCAAAGAAAAATGTCTTTTTCTTAAGCTCTGCTAACAGGTTATAGAGCCCAGACCCGTTAATCGCGTGTGTTCCATAGCTGAAATGTGTCAAATGTGTGGTCGGTACTAGTTGCTTCACGTTGAGTTTTTCAAGTGCGTCTCGTGGTTGCGTTCACGCGATCATACTGAGTGGCCGACAAATCCGGGAATTAGTGTTTTTTTTAGCATATTCGTTTTTCCGGTTGTCGCGAAAGAAGCAGTGCGTCATCGAGATCGAGGTAGAAATAATCGTCCACTCTGCGCCATCAAAGAAGCAGTATCAGCATGGCAACAGACAACGACAGTCTACATCTCATCGGAAATTTGAAGCTGAATGACACATTGAAATTTCCACCACGAAAATTGTAGATACTGAAGAACCAAGTAAGACTATTTTCTACGCAACACCAAAGTGCAGAGGAGACTTCAAACCTCTCATTACCATTTTCCAAGGACTAGAAACTGAAAAGGTGATCCTAGCTGGTGACCTTAACTCCCACCATCCCACGTGGAGTTATCCTAACTCGGACAGAAAAGTCAGAGCCCTAAGCGACATCTTCAACGACCATGATATGTTTGTATGCAACTCTCTCAACCCTGCCCCCACTAGAATAACTCGCCCAGACCAGTAACCAAGTTTCACAGACTTAATCGTCATAAAAAACTCACTGGCAGCATCGTCCAACTTGTCAGTCCTGGACATCCCATCCAGAAGCTACCATCACCCTATAATTTTCTCCCCCAACCCAAACTTAACCCCCGTCTGCTCAGCTATCCCACCAAACAACCTTCCTCCTCCACGGGTCAATTGGAGGAAGTTTTTCAAAATAGTGGAACAACAATTCAAGATAGTAAAGAACGCCCGCCAAAAGGACTACGACGTCTGGTATGCAGTCATCCAATTTGCTCTCGAAAACTCCAAATTCACCCCCAAAGACAACTCCAGGGCCCCTATTCACCAGTTATCAAAACACGAAAGATGGCGGTCTGTGGAGTGCCAGAAAGCAAAGAATCTGAGAGTGCAATGCTTAAAAAACTTCAAGTCATCCAACTCCTATGAAGACGTGATTGCTTATTGCATCAGCTGCAACAAATTTAAGCTCACTGTACGTAAGGCTAAAAAAGACAGCTGGCACAAATACTGCTCTACAATAAACAGGAACACTCCCACCAGTGAAATTTGGGCCAACTTAAAAACTCAACGTGTCTCCAAAGAACCAGTAAGAGGTAAAGATGACTCATGAGTGAAAGACTTCCAAGCAAAGTTCTCCCCCGATTATGCTGAATCCGAACCCCTTCAGATGGATGTACACAACTGGGGTGTAGTACATAAAGCTGTTGTAAGGCAGCGCTGGCGAGGCCGGTGTGGCCAGCTGGATTCAGCCAGTGTGTGCGGGGACTGAGGCACTCGCTTGGTATTCAATAAAATGTTAACTGTGTGTAATCGTCATGTATTCGTTCACTGTGTGTAGCCGTTTTTGTATTCGAGTCGTAAACGTTGATTTATCCCTAGTGTGTTGAATAAAAGTATTTGTCTCATAAAATCTGTCATTCTTAAGACACCTCGACAACGAAGACCCCATCCTCATTTCCTATGAATACTTTGAACATATCCTTCTAGTAATGTAAAAAAAAAACCCAGGAAAGGACAGAATCATAGCAAAACTCCTCAAAGTACTCCCTCCTATTGCTAGAGTTTACCTTTATAAGGTATTTCTCAGAACAATGAACCTTGGGATCACCCCTGCTGAATAGAACGAAGTAATAATTAAACCAATTTAGAAACCTGGCAAGCCAGAAAACATATCCAACTCTTACAGACCCATAGCGCTACTCTCCATCGTCAAGAAGGCCTGTGAAAAAATTCAAGGGGATTCATTGAGGAACATGTTGAACGCCTCAACCTCCTATCTCGTGTTCAATTTGGATTCCGTAAACATTTCTCCCTATTTGACAACCACAACATACCGAATCAAGAAATCCTAGAAGCCCTAGACCAAAAAGAAGTACTGAAAGTAGTCTTCTTAGACATACAAGGAGTGTACGATTCAGTCCACATCCCCACTTTTATAAAGATGATGAAACACCTGCGAATTAACAAAAGACTAATTAAATCAATGTACTGGTTACTTGGCAGAAAATCAGTTTACATCCAACTACATAAAGTAGAATATGGAATCAGAATTTCATTTGTCGGCCTAGCACAGAGCTCTGCTATAAGCCCACTGCTTTATACCTATCATATACACCTGCAAAATTCACAAAGCAATTACCTTCGCCAGGATGTTGGAATTTGCAGATGACATTGTGATATATATCAGACACAAACTTGAAGAAGTAGCTGCTACACTCTTACAATCGGACCTCCACAACCTCATAAACCAAATGGTCAGTTATTATCATACTTTCATCAAATCGAGGGAATGGACTTGCTGTACGATCAGATGCTATTCAACATTGGCTTGATATGAGCATTCTAGAGGGCAGTAGTAGTCCTTATTCCAGCCCAATGGAAACTCTTGTACAATGCTCTGCATTTCTCAATGGGGCTCTTGTCTGGGGTGCCCAAGGTAAGAGGCCAAGCTATCACGCCAAGAAAGCTAAATGCGTCAGACCCCTCAAACATAGGCTTGCATGAGCCATGTTTCCGTCCCAAACCAATACTCTTGATGTAATCTCAGGAACCCCGCCGATTCATCTACTTCTTGACGAACGTATTAAGCTAGGACGCAGGGTCCCTGGACCTGAGGTGAAGGCCTATACTAAGACAAAGTAGCAGTATGAGTGGGAGGCATTGGAGGACTATGCACGGACCAAACGTCTTGTCACAATCCTGCAGCCGTGGTTGGTGAGAAAGCACGGGGACATTGACTTTTATGTCTCCCAATTCCTGTCTGGCCATGACTGCTTTAAGAAATATCTGGCGCGTAGGAAGATTGTCAGGGATGTGCCCTTTCTGCCCCTAGGTGCACTCGACGGAGCACACCTTCTTTGGCTGTGCTGCTTTTGACGAGCTGCGGGGTCCCCTTTATGGCAGACTTGGTGTGCTCACCCCTGATAACGTCATAGAGCCAATGCCGGAGTCAGCAGAGAACTGGTCTGTGAACTCAGCGTTTATCAGGGCGGTAATAACTTTGAAAGACTTGGTCATTAATCCACCCAGCATTGCCACAGGGCACACCTGTGTCCTCCTCTAGTAGTCAATGAGCGTTCCTTATTTATAGTGTATAATATTGTGTTTTCATTCTTTTAATTAGTGCTGATAATGTATACTTATTTTTTTTTAAATATCAATAAGAAGAGACTGTGTAAGCATAATCCAACTGAGGGTAAAAATCAGAGGTGATGAGAGAGTAAAACTAGAGAGAGTATTGAAGATATAGAGTCCAGGAGGAAACAACCAAAAATAACTTCATGCACTACAATACTATCTTTCTTCCTCAATATTAGACTAATGTACAGTAAGGAATTTGTGACTACAAAATCTAGCTTTCTGATATTTCAAACTCCTATTCCCCAAGCTTTTGTGTCACGAAAAGCAGTTAAGCATACGCATTCAGTATTTTTCAGCACAAGTACTTGAGGGCAACAAGTAGGTTAGGGGAACCTTCTTCTCCTCTGAACCTGCTCGTCCATCTTCTAAGTTTGGCGCACTTCTCAGGGGTTAATCAGGGACAGGGTTAATCAATTTTAGAGGGTTTTTAAAATTTTATGCCTTTCCACCAACTTAATTAATTTTGTTCATTCTATAATCCAGCTGAATAAATTTCCCTGCCAATAAAAAAATGTATTCGTCAAATTTTGGTCAACTTGTTGATTGGCCCTCCCTTTTTAAGGCTTCAAAATTGCATTTGCTACTTCAGATGCAGTATCACTGCCTATAGGTTTATGATTAAATTGATAATGAAATGCTCTGAAATAGTGTGTCAAGAGGGTGGCTACATCATTTCTGTGATGGCAAAACTGACTCTTGTTTAGTTCAACATCTGCATGAAATCATACGTAAATTTCAGCATCAATTTTTTCACATCTCTACAGTGAACACTGAAGTCAGTGCAAAGCCAACTCCCGATTTCCCAATTCGCAGAACTAATTGATAGATTTCTGATGAGATGGATTTAAATGGTGATGAGATCATCTCCCTTTGTTGAAAAAATCGCCTGCTGGGAACCCTGGCCATAATCGTGGCCCAAATAAGCAACTTGATACTTACAATCATGATTCTACCATCAACCATTTTTACATTAAAAGTTTCAAAAGGTTTATTTACGTCTACAATATCATTATTCCTCGGAGAGCCACGTTTTGCAGGGCCTTGGAAACGGGCCTGGCGTCTGGCTAGCACATTCGAAGCATTAGCTCGAGCGGCCACTGGTCGTTTTCCACTACCTGCTCCTACAATTGTTGCAATGGGCTGCACTGATTTTGATTCTGGTGGTTTGGGCGCTGCAGTAAAAAAAAAAAAAAAAGAAAAGAAGAGAAATTATTATGACTCAATTGAAACAGCAAACAGAAAAAAAGCTAGACACTACGAGGGTCCTGATTAATTGCTTGCCCGCCAATGAAAAAATTGGAATTTTCATCTGTTCATGTTTTGCCTAATTTTCAAGAATTGTAGGTATATAAAATTTAAAAAGTTTAAAATTGAGGAGAGAGAATCCTGCGAAACAAACAAGGGAATTACGGGCAGGCTAAAATTCATTGTTATTTGATATGATATTCTTTATGATCTCTTGGGCAAAATATGCTTTAAAAGTTGAGCTTTTAATGTGCCAATTTCTGAAGAAGCAAGGCTGGAAAATGATTTTTACAAGCATTATTGGGGAGAAATGATGCGAAATTCAATTGTTATTTACCAATGAATTGTATTAAAGAAAAACTCACCAGAATCTGATGAGCTGTTCGTTTTTGAAGCTTTTGTTTGCTGCAGAACAGCCTGTTTCCGACGTGCTTCTTTAATTTGAAAAATTTTTTCTCTGAATGCCTTTTGAGCTTCGATTTTCTTTCGATACTCCCGCATCTCTTCATCTTCTTCTTCATTTTGAGACTAAAAAACAAATTATGGCCATAGAGCTTCCAAGTACTTAATGAATGATAAAAATAATAACTAGATTTATACATAAAATGAAAAAAATTGATCTTCAGATCTTTGAAAGAAATTGATATTTTTTCTTTTCTTTCTTCCTGTTGAATTACGATTTTTTTTACTTTTTTTGGTGATTATTTTCTTTTAAAAATGTTGTTGATATCATATTGATTTTTTTGAGTTTAAGTTTTCATCAGTCAATTAGTATTCTTCATAGCTGTTGTTAGTTTAAAACTTATAACTAAACTTTGTAACTAAATGCAAGCAAAACCTCAGTAGCCTCAGTGATTAAAACTTAATAACATTACAATCCTTGGTTGAATCAGTCTGTGCTAATGAGCTAAGATCACAGCAGTACATACAAATCTCTTTTTCTATTCAATATCAATCGATTTTGACGAGGTAATGGAGGAAGTAATGAGAGTTCTAATATCACTTTTGTTCAGTAACTCCATAAAGTTAACCCTTTCCGGTCCGCAGCAGTTTTCCACGGCCGCGAGAAGCGAGGTTAAGGTAGCAGCGATGTTGTCAACAAAGACAGTGGTTTCCAAAGGGTCCACCAGAGGCCGCCACTTGCTGGAGCAGTTGAATATACCCGACATCAGGCCTGCACAGAGGTTAAAACTTTCGGGCGACTATATCCGACATCGGACCTAAACGCATTATTTTTCACGGCGAATATATCCGACATTGGACCGGAAAGGGTTAAGTTTCAGTAATTTAGAGGCTCTGGCTGTTTCTCCTCATTGATTAGTCCTCGCTTTTTAATTTTAAGCAGCTTTTTTGCTGTGAAACAAGGTAGAATGTAAATCAAACAATGAAACCTACGAAATTTTCGAAAACTCACCTGCACAGATGGTTCTCGATCAACGGATGTCGTATCAGGTAAGTTTGACACAGTTTGAACTTCTAGAATGTTTCGCAAAGGAACCTAAAATAAAATCAGAAGAGAAATTGACTAAATTTTATCTGGCAGAACCTGCAATGCGAACCTCTTGAAATATTAAGAAAAAATGTCTAAAGTTCTACCAATGACTACAGATAAGAAGAAAGCTGAGTTTTAAGTGCTGTCAAACATATGACAACAAGAACCAACATTCAGAACTAATGAGATTCTACACTTACTTTTTTAGAAGATTGATCATATCTGGGTTGCTTTGGCGCAATAGGAAAACTCGGATTAGAGAGAGGTGCATTGAGACGTTTCTTCTGGCCGAACGGTGGGGAGCCCAGGGCAGACTGGTGCATGCTTTTGGGATTCTGAGGCGATGCTGGTAGTCGAGCACCGAGTCGATTCTTTATGTTTCCTGAAAAAATTTGTGCATAAGACATAGATGCACACAGCAAAAATTTCTTTCTTTACAGATGACTTGGTGAGATATTTTTATTGCCTTCAATTGACAAAGTTTTACTTGTAAACATGCAATTTTTCCACTAAGGTAAAAAACCCGTTCTGAGTTATCAAGTTTAAAAAGAAAAATGTTGGTGAGACTTTTCATTTGGGCATTATATGACTCAGAGGAACCTGTAAACCTAGTGCATCCATTGAAAAAATAAAATAATAAAAATCTTAATTGTGATTTTCCTTTTTGACATGTATGCAAGGAAAATTCACCCAAAAAATGAATGATTTTATTTTTCCTGAAAGTAGCAACATGGATAATTTTACCTAAAATCATTCTTTTGTAGGGGTCCGCGAAGCGACGATTTTCAAAGCGAAGCGGACAAAAAAAACCCTCAAATACGCTGGATGCAACCCGCGGAATTTCGTTGCGGTTACTCCTGCGAGTCGCGACTCAGCGTGTGGTGGTGGCAAACTTAATTGAACACTGGGAAATACGTGAAGAATACATTCATTAAATTTTCCCCCTCTTCCCTTAAATTTTAAGAATGAATTTTTATTGAGATGCCAGCAGATCTTAGATTTTTTTTTAAAACTTTGTCATCGGTTTTGCTTTAATGATCATGGAATGATAAAAAATAAAAATTGTTTTTACTTTTTATTTTCCTTTTAATTTTTTTTATCTAATTTAATGGAAAACGTAGCAAAATTGTGGTAAATATAATTTGAAAACCATCGATTTAAACTTTTCAAAAAATTTTATTATGATGGAATTGAGGTTAGGAGAAAAGGCGCTTATACACAGAGCGGCCGCAAACGCATGCGCAAAGAACCAGTTTATGCGGAGAATTATCCATCCATCATCGGCATTCGGCATGGATTCCAAAAAAGCGCGAAAATATGAATTACCGCGAAATTTGCGCTTGTTTTTTCCGACCTTGCGCTTCGTTTTGTGAAGCAAAGCAAATGCGAAGCTTCGCGGACCCCTATTTTTTTACATGAATTTGAACTACTGAGCAGCTATGGACCTCTTACATGCCCTAGAGATTTGTGATTGTAATACTAATTCTGAGGTACAATGGACCACTAGACAAGGTACGAATTCCAGCATTCTGATACATGTTTCTTAGCTAAAATTTCACATAAAACACGATGCGCACAACGAAAATTACCGAATTCAACTCCTTACGAAGATATTTAATGATTCATGAGGCGTGAATTCAAACCACCTGCTCATGACAACTCAATGCTCTACGTGATTCACATCGTGGGCTAAACGTTATCATGACAGTCTCTGCGATATAAAAATCTGGCAACCTCAATCTTGACTCTTTGGCTTAGCTGTATCAAGTTGTTTATAGTTTGAACAATACATGGTGGGAAATGAACATTGCTCGACTGAGAAGTTTGCTGAAACCGTTGTAATGCACAATTTGACTCACGTAGAGCTTTGAGTTCCTTGTCAGCGGGCAGTTCAAATTCCTCGTGACCAATGTAAAATAAAAACGTTAGTATCTTCGTTTGGAGTTTGTTTCATTAGTTTTCGTTACACAAATCGTGCTCTACGTGAAATTTTGGTTAAGAAACATGTATCAGAATGCTTAAATTCGTACCTTGTCTAGTGGTCCATTTCGGAAGAAACACAATGGTTTTACTAAATTTCCTTGTAATCAATTCCCAACCTCAAGAGAAGCTTACAAAACAAATTTTGGTTGTCACTTTTCAAACTTTCACTGACCATAATCTGTAAACAGACACAGAATTTCATATTACTCTGCTCCCAAAATTTCCTGTTAAGAGTGACCCTTGAACTAAGTTTGGATCTATAATACAAATTAGAGGACTTACCCCTGGAAACCTCCTGGGGAGGAAGCTGCTCTGGCGGGCGGCTAAATAGGTTTGGAGGTTGATGAGGAGGTGGGCGGGTTTCAGGAGGATAACCAGAATTTCCTGGCTCCCCGAACTGGTTCTGGTCGTATCTCTGAGCATCTTGGTTGAACATATAGTTTTGGCTTGGCTCAGAGAAGTGGCGGGGTGGTAAAGAGCGAGGTGGGCCCTGAATTGAAAAAAAAATGAAACGTCAGACAACCTATATAAAATTACATAAAAAATTAGAGACAACCAGTCTTAATGGTCATTAATTTATCCTCGAAAATTAGTGGCCTCTGCTTGAAAAAGTTTATCTGCATCTGGATAACAAATTCATCAATTTTAGGGGTGAGTTTTATGTTAAAAATGGTGGAATACTTTTATTGTGTGTACCCCCTCCCTTCTTTCACCTTCATCAAGGCAGTTTCAGAAACCAAGAATGGCTTCAACTCGAGATGAGAGGGCCTTTGTTACAAACCTTCCCTAGATACCTCCTCCTACCCTCGCTGCAGATCTTCTCACAAGGAAGGTTCACATTAAAAACAGTTTCCACCACTGTCCATGAAGGCTTGAGGGATTAAAAATCAAGAGTGTACTTCAATTGGAAAACGATTTAAAGAAAAATACTGAATGGCTATAGAAATCAAAAGTGACTAATCTCTCCACTGATATTTTAAACATTATCGACTTATGTCTCTACATTGAAAAATCAGAATTTTAGAGGAAAGACTAAAATTTTGAATTCGTTATAATTCTTTAGATTCCGGGCATTTTCGAGCACCTACAGACCTACACCTATGACGCCTCTTACTTAGGCGTCTTTGCTTATGCTTTTGACCCCAACTGCTTGTATGTACTATTTTTAAGTATTTTTCATGAGAGAGAAAGATCAGTAAAAATAGTAGGTATATAAAAGTATTTCAAGTATCTGCATGAACTGTTTTCACATATGCAAAACTTACATTCAGATATCGCAAAATGAGGAAAAAGAAAAAAAAAGGAGAGAAAATGGGATTAATTTATTCTGATGGATTACCTGTTGCTGTTGGTAGTCGGCCCGAATGGGCGGATTTGATGGTGGCTGATGGAATGTGTCTAGGGGCGGAGGGCGAGAGAACTGATTTGAGTCTTCAAACAGCCTTGGAGGTGGTGCGTAATTGTTTTGAGGAATCTCATTGCTATACTGATCCTGGAAATTAACAAGAGATGAAATGAACATATCAATGTGCAATATAAATCATCATAAGTAGCGACCCTTTGGTTTTGAAAATCAGTCTAGCAAAGGTTTCAATGTATTAAGTAAAACATCTTCACTGTAAAGCTTGAATAAACTTTGTTTGGTGCAGTGTTAATGGGTGTTTTTGGTTTCTACACAGAAAATTTTAATTTGATTTCACTCATCTCACGTATAAAGTCTCCAGAAAAAACTGTATGACCAAAAAATATTGTATCAAAAATTCCTCTTCCCTTGCGCTGCACCATACGCTCCTCACCATGCCCAGCGAAAGGGTCCTTCATTGCACTTTTCCACTTGTTCATCCTGCAGGAGTATTCTTACTCCGTCCTTGTCACTTAAACCTTAGATGTGCTTCCCTGATGATGCTCTCTTCCTTTCAGTCCTTGGGCACTATATCTTTGGCCACCAACCATTTGACTCTGAGGTGCAGGCTCTGCATATAAGCTGAAAGGTTCTTGAGTACTCAATATTTTCTTAGCATTTACCTTGGGTTTCAAAAAGTATCAAGCAGTAATGGACCACTAGACAAGGTACGAATTTAAGCATTCTGATACATGTTTCTTAACCAAAATTTTACGCAAAACACGATTCGCGCAACGAAAATGTCTGAAACCAGCTCCTAACGAAGATATTAACGTTTTTATTTCACATCGGTTACAAGGAATTTGAACTGCCCGCTCACAAGAAACTCAAAGCTCTACAGGAGTCAAATCGCCCACCAAGACGGTTTCAGCAATCTCCTCAATCGAGCAATGTTCATTTCCCACCACGTGTTGTTCAAACTATAAGCAATTTACTATAGCTGAGCCAAAGCGTCAAGATTGAGGTTGCCAGATTATTACATCGTAGAGATGGTCATGATAAACATTTAGCGCGCGATGTGAATTGAGCATTGAGTTTTCATGAGCGGGTGGTTTGAATTCACGCATCAAGAATTATTGAATATCTTCGTAAGGAGTTGATTGCGGTAATTTTCGTTGTGCGCATCGTGTTCTACGTGAAATTTTGGTTAAGAAGCATGTATCAGAATGCTGAAATTCGTACCTTGTCTAGTGGTCAATTGTTGGTAGAACATTCTAAAGCCCTCCCAAGTTCTCCAAAATTTTCTCATAGGCACAAAGAATGTGGCTTCCTAGGCAATAATGGGAATCCACGAAGCAAAGCCTTCCAACTCTTCAAATCTAATTTCTAAATTTCATTTTAGCCAGCAATGAAATATCTAGTGATGCCCAAAATATCTAGTGACCAGTGATTAAGATAAAATAATTTTTCCTTTTCACAAGGAAAAAAAGAAGGACATCCTTGACTGTAATTGAGAAATAAGCAGTCTTTCAAATATTAACTTTTGATTCCTATTTGTTAAGGACCTTCCTCTCTCACTATCAGTCCACGGCTTTTGATATTGTAATTAGCTAAAGAAAAGGTAAAATGAATACATCAAGTCATACGTGAGGTGCAGAGTAATTCTGATGCATGGGAGGATTTTCAATGTAATCTTGCACAACTTCCATTTCAGGGGGACCCATCATAGGGGGGGGACCTTGTCGCGGAGGATCATATGGCGCTCCCTAAAAGGCACAGAAAACAGATTTGTAAGTCAGATCAGTTTATCAAGAGAGCTGCAAAACTCAAAAGTATTTCCTTTCGAAATGATGGCAAAGGTGAAATAATACTGAACAATTCCTAGCATTCTTTAAGTTATTGGAGTAAAAAGTGACTTCATTTGCCATTTTGATAGAGGACAAAAAAGTACGATAATTTAATAGAATGTTTCTGCAATCCTTTGAATTTTTTTATTTTTTAAACTGATGGCAAATAATCAAAGGCAATATTTTAAATAGTCATGAAATAAGCCAAGGGTGCAAAAAATGAGGAACTGCCCCATCTTGGAGCCCAGACTACTTGAATAAAGAGAGAAATGATGAAGCATGCTATGCAAATTTTGGCAGTTGCATAATCGCGCACAATCATAATTTTGCGAGGGACTCTAGCCAGTACATGCAATTAATATTCATTCATGCGTGAATTTTATGATCATGATAGTGATCTCTCATGAAAATTTACAAATGTCTCTTAAAAACTGAAAAATTCTTGAACTTCCCTCCCCCCCAAAAAAAAAAAAATACCTCCTACTTTATTTTTGGATCCATAATATTACAAAACTGTGTTTAAAAATTAAGAAACTTATTGGATCCCGGGGGAAACTTGGAAACTTTCTAGATCTATTTAAATAGATATTATTCCCTACGAAAGCTGAAATATTCGTCGATTATCAATCAGCCCACTTGATTCACTTTCTGCAATACTCTAGGGATGTTCAGAGTTCACAGACTTCCCAATTTAAAAAACTTACTTTCCGCTCTAACCTAACTCGAGGTTTCGATTTTGTGGAGAGCTTGTCATTTCTTATTCCGCAATAACCCCATGCCATTTTTAAGACCCTTTTCCACAGCCTTCCCATTTTAATAAAACTGTTTTTGCGGCCTACCTATTAGTGCATGCTACCAAATGCAACCCACTGGTCGTGTGGTTGGAAATTTTCTGCACCCCTGCAATTTTTTCTACAACTAGAGTTTGCTGGGTAAGTTAATTTTTGAATCCCAGGTGAGTTAGGAAGAAGAAAATTTCCTGCATAACTTGATAAAGAAAAAGGAAATTTATTCTTCAACCATTCCTACGAGAGTTTAATAATAACTGACATGAATAATTTCAAGTCATTTAAACGGAAAAATATAGTACTTTACAGCCAAAAACTCCAACTCAAAACAAAACTTTGAGTGCTCAGTCGAGCAATCAAGAATTCGAAGCCTGGGAAGACAAACCTTGGTGGCTTTTTTCGTTAAGAGTTTTCAGCCATGGAAGTCCAAATCTCTTTAGAAAAAGATTGGTCTTCACAAGACATTAAGATTGTGGGAACAATATTTTTCTTATAATAAGTAAAATTATACTTTTTAGTGTGCAGGAGGGAAATAAAAGTTTCTAATTTTTCTTATCTTTTGATCCAAAATTGTGACCGTTCATAATGAGTCATTTCAAGTGAAGTAATCTCTTGAAGTTTGTCTTTCCTTTTCTTACCTGCGAGGGGTCGTACCCTCCATCAACTCGCATTGGTTGCGGTGGAGGCCGTGGCTCGGCATATTGTGGGTATTGTTGGTAGTTTTGTTGGTAGAGGGGCGTCTGCGGGGGACCATAGGAGGAATCCTGCGCTTGACTTGGTACTTCTTGGTACGGTGCATACTCTGCTCGGTATGGCTGAGGCTGATCGGGATAGTAAGACTGTGGCTCAGAGGTTAAAACTGGCGATGGAGGGGGAAAGTCTCGCTAGAAATAATAAAAAAAAAGTTGAAACAAAAGAAAAACATTCAATTTTCTTGGAAAAATAAGTTATCATTCAAAAAATTCAGCTTGTAGCTGTGGAAGATATACACACATATATTTTTTAAACATACCAATAGGGCTCGCTTTTTGAAATCACTCGGATGTACCATAGTACAGCACACCGATCAACCAATGCTATTCAACAAGCTGTCCAAATATTTTTTTCCTCGGACCCGTTTTTTTGTCTTTGAACCATTATACTGTCAAGCCCTGATGGTCTTTTACCAAAAAACCGAATGAACTGCTAATTGGAAACCCTTGAGAACATTTTCCTGTCAAAACCGTATTATTTCATTTGACAGAAACCTCATATAAGCTTTTCTACACTCAGAGGACTCATCTTTAGAAGCTTCTTTCCCTCCAAAACTTTTTAGCCAATGAGCGTCTTGCGCTGTAAGTGCAATCTGTGATGAGACTTGTGACTACCACGGATACCATGTGCTAACCGTGGCCTCTGCAGAAATTCACTTACACCACTGCAGTTATCTCCTGATGTCGCTTTGGGTGTCCGGTTTCGAGCAAGGCAATGAAAGATGGCAAGACAAAGGTTGCCTCGCCGCCGTTGAAACTTATCTTTCACTCCCGATTAACCATTCACCGTGACACCAGGATCCACCAAATTTTCACAAAAATTGTTTTCTGTCTATTTAGCGAGTGTTTCCTTACTCTCCGTTAAAATACAAATAAAAAGAGACCTCATTTGTAAAAATCGGCTGAATAGGAGAGAAGTTACAGTTCGAAATCTGAAGAGATTAACTCAACGCGATTTCAATGCACAGCAATTCGCCCAAATCGCTGTCGTGCGTAATTTCCGCATATCAGCTTAAAATCAAGATATTTAATTGGATTGGATGCTCTGATTCTACAGACATTTAAGATGTGTTCTGGATTTGGGGACAAAAAAATAGACCCTTCCCAGGATAGAATAAGGTTTCAAATAGTGGGTTCCTCTCTTTTAACCTTTTAAATGAGACAGATGATCCGCCTTTGATTATTTTCCATTTCTGTGATAAAATATATGTCAAAAGCTCATTCAAGGAAATTATTTTCTATTTTATTCGCCTCTTTGTCAGTAGTTTCTTCTAGAAAACTATTTTTTTTTTAGTAGATGATATCAATTGACCAGGGTATCTAGAGGAGTTAGAAAATTAAAATGTAGCGAGTTTGTACGGTTTTTGTACATCCACATTAAATATGACATACAGCGAAAGAGTAGAACTTTATTCTTTCTTTTCCACCCATTTTTCTTCTTAATATATGTCTGGAAAATCATTAAGGAGTGATTCATAGTTCATTCTGCTTTCTTGCCAGTGTAAAAATTGAGTTCAAGTGAGTTAATATGAAATCATAGCTCTTCCATGTGACTTCCCTACCATTTAAAAGCTACTTTTGGATTATAGTAAAATTGTATTCTCAATTAATTACCTGGCTTGTAGACTTACTGTTAACTGATGGTAAGGAAATATTTCTCCTGAATTTAACCTGAAGATTTGCATTTTTCATTTTTTACCTTTACCGTACTTTGCACTTAGGTTTTTTAATTAAAACTGAACTGAAAGGATAAAATGAGGAAAAATAATAAATTAGAATTACATGCACAGCTGGAGCTAATAAATGTTTCCTTTTTCCTTACCCTTTGATTGTATTCTGGTGATGGTCCAGGAGGCCGAAATCGTTGCTGGGGTGGGGGCTGAGACAAAGGCAAAGTTTGAAACGGTGAAGAACTATACTGTGGCTGAGGTGGTTGTTGATGCTGCCATTGTGGCTCAGGTGCTTGTTGCGGTGGCATTTGCTGAAACTGTTGTGGTGGAGGGTGCGTATTTTGATTGCCCCATTGACCTGCAAAGATTGAGGGGGGGGGGGGGGGGACAATGATATGACAATAAAATAAAATGAGTTTTTTAAAGGTGAGAATGGGTCTGTTGCATGCAAGAGAAGCAGCCGAAAGCATAAACTGTCTACAGGTAAAATTGCACAAAAATGGCATTGAGGACATTGAAAGAGTCTGAAACCCACTCCTTGGTATGCAATCTGCGTACTTTATAACACCCTTTTTTAAATTTGCCGTGTCCGCTGACAGTCTTTTTTAGTGGCCGGCCGTCAGATTTGTCCAGAGAGAGAGAATCAAGAAAACCTAACCTACCAACCTAACCACAGACAAACTTGCGAACTGTTAAAACTTTCCTTATGTAAGATTTCAATCGGTTTTAAGCTTTCATTTTTGAAGGAAGAAGGAAGAGGGAAACGAATGCTTGAAAACAATTGAAATCATACAATCGAAAATGTTTGCAAAATTGCTTGTTCATTCAGTTTAGGTTTTCTGAACCCTCTGTCTGGGCAAACCTGATGATCAGCGACTGGAAAAAACTGCTTTTGGAAATTTGAAAAAGCATATAACAAATCATGCAGGTTGCAAGGTAAAAAGTGGCTCATTGTTATTTTCGTACGATTTTACCCTTGGAAAGTCTATTCACTTGCCTAAATCTTTTGCGTGATGATTTATTCATTTTTCATAAAATTTAAGAACTTAAACTTCCTTTCACTTTTTTGTCACTTCTAGATTTTGGATCCCTGAATGCTCTGGAATGTTTGATTAGGAAAGGAACCAAGCATCTCCTGCAAGAGTAATATGTCAAGAAATGAGATATGTAATTTTCCCTTCTGATTTAAAAAATTGTCCATGCTATTTCAGAAATGCGCAAAAGTCACAATTCTAACAGCTTTGCAATGACCGTTTATTGGGGTAGCTCCTCACCTTTCAGTTCCATGTGTAACGGTTTGTGTACGGTTGCTACTCATGATAGCTCTCAAAATTTAAGGATGAAGTTAAAGCACAAATTAAACCGTGCAAAAGCTATCATTTACCTTTATTCTGCTGGTTCTGATTGAAATGTGGGTTGATGAGAATCTTGCGAGGTATGAAACCAGAGGTCCTTTGCTGAGGGGGTGGCCCTGGGCGTGGGGGTGGGGGTCCTTGTCGCATAGGTGGGGGACCTTGTCGCATAGGTGGGGGACCTTGTCGCATAGGTGGAGGACCCTGCCGCATAGGCCCTGGACCTCGGAATTGAGGGCCAGGAGGCCGGAATGGAGGAGGACCCATTTGATTCGGCCCCATAAACCTGGAAAAATAATTGCTCATTATTCGCTCTTAAGTTAATCTAAATGATGATAATTAGTGTATCTCAGCAATTATTTGTGAACTAACAATAGTTCTAAAATTGTAGAGAGAAGCTTAGTTCATCGTTGGGGTTAAACTAACTCAAAATTGATCATTGGGGAAATTATACCCTTGAAACAATTTTTCTGGAGCATGTCCCCACTATTACTTCATACAAAATAAGCCAATGATAAAACTTCATGAAACATGAAAACAAGTTTGGATCATTTGTACGATTGTAAAGCTAGAGCTGGAGAACTAAAGTTCCCTCCCTTCATCATCCAAAAATTTGACAAAATTTAGCTTCACGAAGGGGGAAATTTTCCTTATTCCACTATCATAAGTTTTTTTTTCTGTTTGTTTACTGGTATCAAAAGTTTTTCAATTACCTTTGATGAGGCATTCTCATTGGTGGTCTTATACGAGCATTACCTGGCCTCATTTGGCCTCCAAGCCGTTTCTTTATGTTGTTTTCTCTACGGTTGCGAAGCTCTTTGGTAAAAATCTGTAAATTTGGCTTCACTGCTAAACCTGCAAGTAAGACAGTAAAAGGTGAGACACAAAGAGAAAGACAATCCAAAGTCAAATACAGTTAATAAAAGAGCAAACAGCTCAGTTGTTCTAAAAATTAGCGATATAGGGCTCTTTCTGTTTAATGCTTTGTCCTCTGATTCAAAAGCTGTAGCTTTCTTGGAAAACTTAGGATTTGCAAAACCTATTTTTAGGGATATATTATAGTGATTAGATACCAACTTTTGAATCACCCATCTGCTGATTTTACTAATCAGCTACGTTTGGTTGTGTCCCATTGACAAGGACAAAATTACGATTTGCATCCTGCAAAAAAAAACTAGAGTTGATAATATTGGAAGTAGAGTTGGGCCGAAATGGATTTTCCGCATCACCAGATCCGGATATTGATTTTTTGTATTCAGCCTGAGCCGGACACCTGATAATTCGCCAAGGTATCCGGCCAGAACCGGATAATACCGGATCCGGATGGTGCTTTTAGGCGTGAGAAAAATCTGCCGATTTTGCAGGAGAAAAATCTCCTGATTTTGCGCGAGAAAAATCTCCCCGTTTTGCGCTTGACACAAGAGGCACACTGTGTATTACACCATCAAGGCCGTCATCCATAATGTATGTGTCTTCGCTTCGGCAACCTCCATATTTTTCAATGATACACTATGAGTCAGCCCGCTAAAACAATTACAAAAAAAAAAGACCTGACAGATAAGTAGCATGACTTTCATTGGCTTTATGGTGTGACAGGCCAAATGAATCTGATGTGCAGAGAGAGAGAGATATTATTAGAAGTGAGTCTAAACAAGACAAAAGTGGAAAACAGCGCATTGATACTGCAATTACAAGCTGCGTACTGCGACATTACAATAATTGCGGAGTTACACTCGGATTGAAAACATTACCAAAACAGGGAACTTGTGCACATGTTGGTGGCCCTATTTTTATTTTATCTTTCACCTGCATCTTCGTCTTTGAAAGAGAAACACGCGGACTTTCGGAAGTAAGGGTCTTGTTGCAATCGTGTAAATGTGCAGGAAATGTCCTTAATTCCGATGATAACAAGTTTCGAAAATTTGAACAATTACAATGAGTTATCAAAGTGGGCCAAAAAATGCCAAAATATCACCAAAAATTTCTCGAAATTTTCATGGCCATAGAAGCACTATCCGGCGGGTCCAAAAACCGAATATCACAATTATACGGCCGGATTCGGATACCCGTAAAAATTGTATCCGGCCGGATAATTGCCGGATACTCGGAATTCGGCCGGATAATTGCCGGACCCGGCCAACTCTAATTGGAAGAGAGAAAACAGAATTTTCTCAAAACTAACCTGTAGGATTGTTGTTTAAGATAACAATCTTTTTTGCACTTTTGAACCCACCTCCATCACCTTTAGATGCAACAGAAAGCTCCGAAGTAGAGGATGGCATATTCTCTGAAACATTATCATTCGCCGCACTGCTTGATATAGCTGGAAAAAAAAAGTACCTGGTTAAACACTGTTCATGAATTATTGCAGGTAATAGAGGTTGAGAGGATTCATGCATGATAGGTTTTGATGGATGAGTCCTCTCAAAATTATATGGGTTGTCCGAACAATACTGCACTCTTTCCGCTTTTGAATGGTTAGGGCTATTTACATGTGGTTTGCACATTGCTCTAGATTGAATCTTCAGCTTTGAAACGAGACCTTTTACAGGTTTCTTTCTAGTATATTTCCAAATTTGCGACATTTTAAAGACGACATATCAAGAAGGACCCTCATGTTTCACCAGTACGTTTTTTAACTAAAAAGCTTAAAGCGGGGCACATAAAAAATCGACATTTTTACCAGAAAAAAGATACAATAGAATGAAGTTGACAACTGATGTCTCTGAAGATAACTTTTGCTTAATCTTTACATTGACATTCATTGTAAAAGTGTGAGAGATGCTCCTGTGACTGCAAACTCTGATCCGATAGATTGAGCTTGCAAGTTAACACATAATAATAATAATAATAATAATAATAATAATAATAATAATAATAATAATAATAATAATAATAATAATAATAATAATAATAATAATAATAATAATAATAATAATAATAATAATATATTTATTAATGCAACAGCCTCATGAAATTCATACAAATTTATGAGCTTAACACTCGTCAAATAATATAATGGAACAAAATTTAACATCAAATAAATGTAACAAAAATTTTAACAAACAAATAAAAAAAACAGTAAATGAAGAACTAAGACTTAAGACTTAGGGGACTACATTCAGGCAATTTAGGGATTGGGGAGATTTGCGTCGAGATATTCTTTTAACTCGTAAAAAGGGTTTTCTATGAAGTAATTTTTTATGTTATTTAGGAATAGATTTGAATTTTCTGATTTAATGAAAAGTTCTTTTAATGGCTTGGGAAGCTTGTTAAAATATCTGAAGCTATCCCAGTCTACTTTTTCCCCCCGTTTTTTTTCAATTTTTGCTAGGATATTTCTGGTTTGTATTTGATTATTAGTAATTAATTTTTCTTTGATGATGTAGCCTAATTTAATTGATTCCTTTATTGTTGAATATATATACCTAGAGAAGACAGTCATCACATTGAACTCTGGGAATAGTTTTCTACAAGAGTCAAATTTTTTTTTGTTTTCAATAATTCTTAAGATTTTTTTTTGAGTTAAAAGAATATCTCTGGCACCTGTTGTATAGCCCCATAATTGTATGCCATAGCTAATTATGGAATCCACGTTAGAATGGTAGTACAACATGAGGGACTCCCTATCTATTTTCCTATTAAGTTTCCTAATAGCAAATGCCCTACTTGCAATTTTTTCCTCAATATGTTTTGCGTGAGAATGCCAATTTAGTTGTTGGTCGATGAACAAGCCCAAATATTTCACTGTTTGATTTGTCTGAATTTCCTTATCACCGATTTTGACCGATTGAAAATCTAATATATTTTTAGTGAAGTTTAATATAAAGGTTTTAGCAAAATTTAATTTTAGATTATTATCCTCTACCCATTTGTTGACTCTATCAATGACCCATTTAATTTTATTTTCTATATCTACCCCTTTAACTACCACATTGATGTCATCAGCGTAGATTACTGTTTGAAGGTCAATTCCATTGTCCTCTAGAAAATCTGGCAGGTCATTTATGTATATAAGAAATAAAAGTGGACCTAGCAATGAGCCTTGGGCTACGCCAGCGGTACTAGGTGTGAAATTGGAATGATATTTTCGGCCATTTTTCGATACTTCGGTTGTTTGAAATCTACCGGAGAGGAAACTCCGAACCAACTTACAGGCTTTAGTGGAAAAGCCATATTTTCTTAACTTTTCAATTAAGATATCGTGATCAACTAAGTCAAAGGCTTTCGACAGATCAAACTGTATGCTTACGATTGACTCTTTAGAACAAGCATTTTTTAGTTGCCTTATTTGGTTTAGGAAGGTCATGACCGCTAAGCCTGTATTTTTTCCTTTTCGGAATCCAAACTGCGATGAAGTAAACAGATTGTTTTTTTCAAAATAATCATAGATTTGATTGTATAGAACTTTTTCGAGAATCTTTGACAAAAAAGGAAGTATCGCAATGGGACGATAATTTTCCAGATCTTTTTTGGAGCCTTTTTTATGTAGCGGGAGAATTTTGGTTAATTTTAATGATTCCGGGAAATTCTCTGTGGAAATTGTTTCGTTTACTCCTTGAACTATTGGATCCAGCAGAAGTTCCAAATTATCTAACAGTAATTTGTTGGGAAATTCATCCAAACCAACTGCCGCTTTTTTGTTCAGTTGTTTGATAATATTTTGAACTTTATACTTTGTGACGGATTTAAAATCAAAGGAATTTTTGTTTTTATTTTTATCTCTCATTAAATTACGAGCTAGGGCTGGACTTCCTGTTTTGGGAAATTTTGCCCTGATGTTCACAAAGCTGTCATTAAATTTGTTCGCAATTTCTACTGGATCATCAATTAGCTTCCCATCCATCAGGAGGTCACTTACATTTTCGTAAACGACTTGACATTCTAAATCGTTTTTGATGACCTTCCATACCTCTGCATTTTTTTTACTGGCAATGGCTGACTTTATGCGCTCAACATTTTTTGAGTATCTACAATTACTTATGAGTTTTTTTATCTTTTTATTTGCTCTGTTTACTAATTTTTTATATTTTCTCAAATTGTGGAACTTGAAGAGTTCCCAGTTCTTGTTTTTTTCTTTGATTAATTCCCCTAGTTCAATTTTTTTTAGAGATGGTAGCTCAAAATTATCTGTTTTCATTTTTTTCACTTTCAGCGGGAAACTACTGTTGTAGTTTTCTACAATAGATTCATGCAGTTCTTGTAAAGTTAATTGTTTTTTCGATTTTATGTAGTCACCTATGGCATTTTTAAAGATAGTGTTATTTCTTGCAGAGAAATATCTTTTCATTATGGGTTCTGTCTCATTACCTTTTAGCTTTGTTTGTGAGGCAATACTACAATGGTCGCTTAGAGTGGAGTCAAAGACATTTATATTCCCTATATCAAAATTTGAAAGACAGTTGTCAAGGAGGGTTTTGGAGTTTTTTCCTATCCTTGTGAACACATTTTCAACATTGAGCTTTAGATTAAAGGATTTGGCCAACAACCTAAAAGAAGCGTTATCTTTGCATTTCGAGTCGTTCATATCGACATTGAAATCACCGTAAATGGCTACTGTATTTTTTTGCGGTTTGAGTTCGTTAAGCAATTTTTCCATATTACTAAGAAATACCTTGAAATTTCCTTTTGGAGGTCGATACACTACAAGAATAAAAATTGGTTTTAAAAGTTGCACTTTTTTTATTGAGGTCACTTTGATACCTGTTATTTCAAATTCTTCTTCAATCGCTAAATGCTCAAAATCTAGTTGGTTATAATTTACCTGTGGAGAGACATATATGCTTGCTCCACCCCCCCGTTTTACTTTGCGGTTAAAGGAAGACGCTAAAGAGAACGTTTCTAGCTTAATAATATCCTTGACTTCTTTTATCCAGTGCTCAACAAAGCAGAGAATGTCAATTTTACTGCATTTTTCCTTAATTTCTACAAGTACTTCTTCATCTTTATTCCTTAAACTACGTACATTATGAAAGTATACATCTAGTTGTACCTCATTCCTTAAATTGTTTTGCCGCATTTTATTTTCTAGCTTGGTTTTTTGAGACTGGATGAGAGAAATGAATTTAGTACCTAATTCAACTGTGGGCACAGTTACGTCTAAGGCATTTAGTTTAAAGAATTTTCTCTGTCACTCTTGTTCAAAATTAAGGATGACAGTTTTTCTGCGATTAGGTCCTTACCAAGGCTATTTAGGTGTATACCGTCTACCGAATAATGTTCCCTACTCATAGGCGTGTTTATAAAATTACAATGCTTGTATTTTTTACTAAACTGAATTAACTCTAAATTAAATTTGTGGATCTCTTTATTAACAAACGCATCTTTGCTGTAATCTATCCGGTATGGAATTGCTAGAAAATTAATTTTTGTCTTACTATGTTTCCTTAGAAACATTTCAATTTCATTTATGGCCTCTTCCGTTCGTCCCTCATACACATCAATTGCCCCTGCTGAGATAACCACATTATCTCGTGGGGAGATTCCATTTAGGTTGTCCGAACAAATATACCATGTACGAGCGCCACCGGAAACTTTACTCTCAAGCTTGGTATTCCTGAATTTGTTTCCTAATTTTTGCCTAATGTTTCTAACGTGGCTGTCACCAAGAATATAGAGTTTGGAGCCCCCGGTTTCCTTCATTGTATCTCTATTGGTTTTGACATTATTGTCTTTATTTTTAGCTGTTTTGCTTCTCGCACTTATTGACCGGTCCTCTACCGAGTTTGGAGCTGCTTCCTTGGCGTTTTTTGACACAGAGAAAATTTCAAATCTGTTACTGCTGCTCCTTCTATCTAGTATAGTTGAGTCAGTATGAGATGCTTTATTTTTTGTAGAGCCATTGCTCCTCCGTTTTCGGCGCTTTTGGCTTGAGCTAATAGCGCCGTTAGATGCCACTCCAAATTCGGCAGATAGGAAATCTCTAGATAGTTGGGTCTCAGCCAGACTAATTGATTCTACTACATTCTTTTTCTTTTTCAATTTTACTAGTTCTTTCAATAAGCTCTTATTTTGTCGTTGGAGCTTATTGCACTGCTTTACAAAGTTGCCATTCTCTATTGCTAATCTAGTATTTCTATGGTGCAATACATCTATTTTACAATTATAATAAGATTTAAGGGCTTCACATTTTTTGTAATTTTCTTCCTGGATAGCAGCTAGGCTGTTAACAATATTCATGGATTTGTCTAAAGCACTTACAGATTTGAGAGTGTGGTTCTGAAGATTTGAGTCGTTCGTTTTCTTGAAATCGTCCCAGAAAAAGTCATTTTTTGTGGATGTATCAATTCCTGTTACTGAGTTGTTGGTGATGTTGACTCGCTCCAGAGTGATTGCAGGTGACATTTGCTCCTGAGTAATTCCCGGTGACATTATACAGTCAGACTGATTTCTCAAAGAAACATTTGTGTTCCGATTTGGGGTAACGGAGATTGTTTGCGCCACTGGGAGACTAGGTGATTGCACAGACAGGGGTTGAAGTTTGAGTGGTTGAAATTGTAGGTGTTGGAGAATTACCAATTGTAGGTGTTGGAGAATCACCAGGATTAGAGTACACTTTTGCTCTTACTGGAGTAGGGATCTTGCTTTTTGGTTTTGGCTTCTGTTTCTTGCTGACAGGAAGGTTTGAATTTGAGGTTATGTCAGACAAAGGGCACATTTTGGGAGTAATTCGGGATGAATTTGGTGTTTTATTCATTAAATGGACTTTATCAGACTGGTTGTCATGAGATTGGTGAGATAACACGCAAGGTTCACATCCCCATGTCTTCCTGTATTGGTCTGTAGAATCTAGGTCAGAGCACTCCAGGTGGACCCATGATTGACAATTGTTGCATTGAACTTTATAACCACTTTTTAGTAACTTGGTAGCACACACTGAACACAAAATGGGCTTCTTTTTACTTAATAACTTTGCTTTTGAAGCTGCCCTTTTTTTAGTTTTGTCACAATTATTATTATTATTATTATTGGAGCTATCAGATTTACTTGTTTTGATGTCGGCCATCTTGGAAAAAAAACTGGAAACTTGGAAAAAAAACTTGGAAAATGGACTCTCTTTGAAAAAAAGAGTCAGAATATCAGATTTTTGGAATCGCACGTCTGTTGCCAGACGTTAAATCGATCTGCACTCAAAATTTCATTGTAGAAAATTAAGAATTGAAGCCGGCTAATTTTCAGAGGTGAGGGCACCTCATGTACACACACATGAAATTCTGTCTTCTGCTTCCATATTAACTTTTCTCGAACGTCACTCAACTGCCTCTTACATTTTCTGTGTTGCCAACTCTAACCCCTTGCATTACAATTTCAGTAAAAATTTGATTCTGTGCGTTCCCCTTTTCAAGGTTATTGATTAAAAAACGTGAGGGTTCCTCTTTCCCTTCCTAATTGCCTGCGACATACAGATTCACAAGCAGAGCACTTACAAGTGAAACTAACAGCAATACTTACAAATGGGGTTGTTTTGGGTGGTCGGTTTTGGAAAATTTGTAATTGTGATGGTTGAATCCTTTTGCTCCACTATCTGAAACCAGGCATCAATCACAACTACTGTAGAATGCAAAAATACAAGTGAAAGATACAATGATTAAGTTCTAAAAAAGTATTTTCATTGGTAGAATGAGCTCATGTAAAGTCAGATTGTTCTGAGAATTTTTAATTGATATTATAGTTACACGTCATTATGGCTTCATTTGAGCTAAAGTTCAAAACAATCTTCCTTGTGATAGTTCTGAGAATGCCTAACAACTTTGTAAAATTTCAAAAAACAAAAAAATAGTCCAGTCTCAGACAGGATTACCGTGATACCTCTTGCTCTTGCCTGCCAAAGGGCAACATTTCAAATTATGGTACACATTTTTGCGTTTTCAAACCTAAGAAAGAAACGATGGGTCTCTGGACAAGGTGAAAATTTAAGTGCGGACAAATCTCCTCCTCAAAGTTTTACAATAAAAAACAAACCATGCAACAGGTAGTCTCAAAACGAACTTCTTAGATAATATATTACAATTAACATTGGTTAAATGGAAACTATAAAAATGATATTCATTTGTCTGATTTAAATTCCATTTGCTCTGTGTTGAAAATACTTGTTGCCATCTCTTTCAGGAGTTGATTTCTGAACTTTCCGTTATTAGTCTTGATTTCTACCTAAGATTTGGGAGAGAAAACATATGGCATTTTTTCTCATTCAGACCTTGTCTAATGGCTCATTACTGAAAAACCGCGATGAAAAACATACAGCTACAGTTTGTTCTTAAAGCAGATAAACATCCTAAAACTAAAACCCAGCTTTCGCAGATTGTGCTAATGGACCACTAGACAAGGTACGAGTTAAAGGATTCTGACACATGTTTCTTAACCAGAATTTCACGTAGAATACGACTCGCGCAACGAAAATTACTAAAACCAACTCCTAACGAAGATAAACTCGTTTTTATTTCACATTGGTTACGAGAAATTCGAACTGCCCGCTCACAAGAAACTCAAAGCTCTATGTGAGTCAAATTGCGCACTACAACGGTTTCGGTAATCTTCTCTATCGAGCAATGTTCATCTCCCACCATGTGTTGTTCAAACTATAAGCAATTTGCTATAGCTGAGCCAAAGCGTCAAGATTGAGGTTGCCAGATTTTTATATCGCAGAGACTGTCATGATAAACATTTAGCGCCCGATGTGAATCGCGGAGAGCATTGAGTTTTCATGAGCGGGTGGTTTGAATTCACGCATCAAGAATCATTAAATATCTTCGTAAGGAGCTGATTTTGGTAATTTTCGTTGTGCGTATCGTGTTCTACGTGAAATTTTGGTTAAGAAACATGTATCAGAATGCTGAAATTCGTACCTTGTCTAGTGGTCCATTGTGCCTTTAGGAGTGGATCTAGACATATTTCTGATTTTTATGCAATTTTACCTACAAAATGTCTACTCAGATGGCTGTTGCACTTGTAAGCAACAGACTAATTACATTTGGACATAATATTTCAGGATTATTTTCTTTGAATAATTCTTACTCTTTGAGGCGCCTTCTCGACAGCTGCTGAGTAATCGGATTCTATTAAGGCCAAATCTTCTGGCACTCCGATGTCCAGAATGTCCTCCTCCTCATCATCATCAAAATTATACCTGGAAAAGGAAAAATGATTCTTTAATTTTTCTTCATAACTAAAGGATTTCCAATTCTTCAGTTATTATTTTAAATAAAAATTGAAATGCATGGCTTGAATTATTCAGACAGTGAATACTCTGTGTGATACATTGACTGGATGAAACAGTGGCTAGTTTGTAATGCAAACTAGACCCCATAAACTATCAGCTCAATGAGACCAATAGATAGGCAACCCAGATTAAATGTAGCACCAGAAAATCACTGGAATCAGCAACAGCTACTTTAAAGAAAGGGTGTGGGGCATACATACAAGCTATAAGCTACTTTTGGTGCTACACTTGTACTAGCCCACAGGGCTTCATGTCAAATATTCTGCTCCCTCAGCTATCTTAAACCTCCCCCAAAATTCAAGCAGTATGGACAGTATAGAGTATGTTTTACATATTACAGATTAAACAAAAGAAGAAGAAAGAATCCCTGACTTGCTTTTCCAAAAATGGTGCTATTGAACTTCAAACTTGACACATTAGTGCCTCATACTGGAGTGCTTGACACTTTTAATTGTACAACTGGACAAATGTATCAATTGTACGGTGGTTGCATGTCAATTTTTCTAACTTTGCAGATCATATGTGAAAAACAGTATTACATGCAAATTAATGGCTGAAAAGTGTGTAACTCCATCATACTGTCTAAAACTTATCAATTGGTTTAATGCGTTAAATTTTATACCATACCATTTTAAAGTATTATGTGAATTACACTTACTATCATTTTGTTACCTTTTTTTGTAACTATCAACTTGGAGACAAGTTTACTCGAAAGTGCAAAAAACTGCATCCTGAAATAGAGCTGGGGAAAGAAAAAAATGGACAATTGTCACATCAGACATTAGCACGATTCAACATAATTTCATGTGGTAACCAATGGGCCAACAGATGATTGATGCATTCAGATTGACGTGTCATTTATCCATTCTTTTTTTCCCTAGTTCTAATTCCTCCCATGTTTAACTGTCCCATTGTGTTTTGATTTTTCGAAAGAAAACTAACAAAAATATATCCTTGAGATATTTTGGGAATATGTTTGGAAATTGAAATAATCAAGAAAAACCGTTGGCTAGAGTTCTCTTAAAATATAAAACCTGAGCAGAGTTTGCAATGTCGCATTCGGAGGTATACATCTAGGAATTTAGCCATCCATATGCTGCTAGTAAAGAAAAAAAGAAAAGAAAACATAGGTATCCAACACTTTACCTGTGTACTTTTTCCCCATCCTGATCAAGAAAAATTGAGTGCCGGTTCTGAAAAAAATAGAAAGCCCTCTTTTTTTACTAGGTTCAGCAAAAATTAATAGTCAGTCCGACTTGCGTCAGTCATTTTTTCTTAGGAAAAAATGTCTACCGTTTTTTCAGAGCAAAAGTTTAACTGTTTGAGAAGTTAATTTCTACTATTGTATCCATGCAAGGACAAAATGCCTTGCAAAAGATACCAGGAGATCCAGATCACACATAATATTTTCAGCGATGTATCAGAAAAAAGCACAGGAGCCTGCTTTGGCATCTTTTGGACCCCTGGTTCTTTCTGCAAGAAAGGGTGGAATGGAAGAAAAAAAGGACTTGAGGTTATCAGGTTAAATTTGAGCTTAGGAGCCATCCATAAATTGCACAAGGCACTTTTCCCCATTTATAGACCTCCCCCCCTCCTAAGGAACCGTAAGGTATCCCTTTCTCCCTGCGCTAAAAATTATGCAAGGCTTGACTGACACCCCCCCCCTCCTTTCTTTTCAATTATCGCAAACCTAAACATTACGTTTGCATTTAGAAAAACAATGAAACTTTTAGTCAAAAATTTTTATTAGTGATCAACTGGACGAAAAATGAATTTTAAAGTTGACATTAGGATGAAGTCACTACTCATCATCGCACGGAGTGGAGAAAAGGGAATCAAGAGAAATGATAGGAGCATGATCTGAACGGTCAGCAGTCGGTAATGTGCTGATTTCCTCCATTTCATCTTGAATTTTGCTATCAACCTAACGAAAAATGAATTTTTGCAATTTCTTTAGATGTATGCTGGAAAGCTCATGTAAGGTTCAGCCCTATCCCCCTCACCCTCATAAGGCACCGTAAGTCTGTTAGGGACCTCCCCTTCTCCCTTTGAGCTCGTGTTTTAATGTAATTAGTAATTTATGGACCCTTAGTAAGAAATCGAATTTGTATTGTTTGTCACATACAGTATACACACATAAACTGCCATGCTATGCAAGAACGCTGTATGAGCCATCAGGCGTTGCCAAATTTCCTTCAATAATGTATGAATTTTGTATGACATTAGTGAAAATTTTCCCTCCAATTTTTCAGAGAATTTTATTCGTTAGTAGATCTAGATTATCTGGAAATTCAGGAGAAAATATTCATGACAGTCCTCGAAAATAAATATTTAATTAGAGGAAATTTGGCGACTCAAATGTACAGCGTTTCTCCACAGAGGACAATAGAGTCGCAGATGTACTGGAGTTGATGATGTTAATCCATGAACGGGCCATTCCGAGCCCTTTGTTCGCTGAAAAGTGGGAACCATCTGGGAACCGTTTGGTATTTTTTAACACAGCGTATTATGGGAGAATTGCGGGCTGCGAGTGATTTTTCGGATTTATTCATCTAAATCAATCATAGTTTCAGGGAATTTTGGCAAAGTGTGTTCACCAAAGTCGTAGCAAATTCAAAAAAGTACAACACTCCCTGTTTTTATGAAACAAATTTTATTCCTGTATTTTCTGAGCTAAGACCGGAGCTGGGACCCTGTGCATATGGCATCGCCACACACTAGTCTCAGGAGTACTGGACAAAACAGCCTCAATAAGTGACTTCCTCGGCGCTCCAGAACATTGCGACTCTATTGTACTTTGTAGCTCTTCTTTAGCTTGGCAGTGTAGAAGACGCTTTAAAATTTTTTTTTACATTGTGAGTTTTCTCAGCAGTAAAGCAAATGACTGGAAAATGTTCAAGTTTAATTCAAACCTCTACACTTCAAGGACTCTCACCTCTGACTCTGTCGCATTCTTGCTTCTAAAACCCAATTCACACCATCAAAATTTTCATTCAACTCTTGAATGAAAAATTGGCTGGTATGATACTGACCCAAGAAAATGTCAACTTGATGAAAAATTGAAGGTGCCAATTGGATGGAAAATTGAACGGAGAATAATGGAATCGAATTTTGTTACGTTCCACTTTCCATTAAACTTTTCTTTCAAATATATTGGATGCAAAAGTTTAATTGTGTGAATTGGGCATTGAGTACTAGAACTGAGATCAATGGGAGGGGAATATTGGTAGAATTCCATTACCTCAAATTCTTTTTCAAGTAGTGCATCCTCCTCATCAGCATCCAAATCCAGCTGTCCGACGTAATCATCTTGAAGCAAGTCACTGTAAATAGTCAATTTGTCAAACTCAGAATGTATTTCTTTTAAAACTGATTCAAGTAAGGAAACATTCTATCAATCACAGGTTCAGTGTATTTCTGGCAGAGGCGGATCTAGCAATTTGGCAACATCGGATTTCTTCCATTTAAACATATGTGATATAATCGATTCTCGTCGGAGCACCTGGCCCTTACAAGAATCGATACATTTCCATAGGTTTGAATGGGGAAGAAACAATGTTACCGATTTGCTGGATCCGCCAATGATTTCTGGCATCAACTGAAAGGTATCAAACTAATCCAGAAATACTTACTTACACATCAAATCTAGTACTGCAATTTATCTAATTAGGATAAAGTGCCTCTTTTCGGATGGAAGCAAGGACATCATTGATAAATTATGTGTGCTGTAAGAGGAAGGTACAAATGGTACCTCTTTGAAATGAAGTTGATACCGCATTGCATTAGCGCTGTGCATCTGGTTTCATATTCTACTTAGGAAGGTATTAGTGTTGAAATTGGAATGTATGATATTTTAAGTTCAATTAGGTAGGTATGGCCTTGATATTCAGTTTAATATGTTTTGGATATGATGGTGAAAAGATGTTCATTGTATGCTACTGACTTTTTTCCCCTGGAACAAGAGTCCCGCTTGGACTACTTAAGCCTTGCAGAGGGCACATGCTCATACAAGTGGGAATACAAAAATTGATACGGTTGAACCATTAGTACTTTTTTAATCAATAAGGAATACCAAGCTTTTATCCAAAAAAAAGTCAGAACACTTACTCTGCCATTATGAAAATCCTGAGATACTTAAATCTCGAGTTCCGTGGTTGAGGAGACGATTGGTCAGATCGCTACATAAATAAACATGATTAAAAAAACAGAAAAAAGAATAAAACGAACTGTTGATGATAATAGAAATAATAAGTTTCTCTACGGTGAAAGATATTCTGCATGTAAATGAAAAAGTAAGTTGAGTTGAGGTACTTGGTCTCAACTTTCAAATGGTGTGTGGTGTAAATTGTGGCCGAATTCACGAGAAAGATGCGGATTGTTTACAGAGATAAAGGAGGAGGTGAATGGCTGCCGTTTGTACGTTACAGTTACGTCATTGAAAGCTTGTTGCTTATCCTTACACCGTCGTCAAATTTAGCAATTGACGACATTTTTTGTCGATTTTCACCTGAAGAAAATATTCACTTATGATTTATCCATCAATTTTCTCCATTCCATGATGACCCGCATTGGTTCCGAAAAATTTACAGTTTTCCACTCCGATGAGCGATATTCGACCATGAAAAAATTGTATTTCGTCTATTTTAGTAGAGACTCGGCAGCATGCATGAGCTAAAGGGCATCATTGACGTCACTACCGGTAACTCCGATATGCTTTCTAATAATCAGTTTTGGGCGCTCAATTAAATTTTTTGTATAAGGCGGCAACATTGTAAAATTGTATTTTATTTCACTTCCGTCAGATAGCGCAACCTTTTTCAATAACAATTTCTCATAACGTGCAGCGCTTTTAGTGAACATAAGATGACAACTTTATGCTCGGTTGCCGCTTCTCATCGTAAAATCGAATTTTCCCCACCCAGCAATGTCACTGTCATTGTTCATCTGGTTCGCTAAAATATGTTCAGTGTACTTGTACCAGCTCGTTTCAGCCACCATGATTAAATTGTGATAAGCTATCTGTGTTTTTGAATTTTTACGCAAGTGCCCATAGCTTTCCTTCATTTCAAGCGTATACTACGTTCTAGTTATCGAGTATTATTGTTTAGTGTAAAAAGTGCTGCCTCACTTTGAGGCAATGAGCTCACTTTTCCGGTATTGATTGGGTTCGTGAGCGGCCATGAGTCATGGGTGCTTCCGGGCGTTATGGCGATAAAAAGTATGAATTCGGTGCCGTCACACCTTTCCAGGTCCATAGAGCGACTTTTGGAGGAAGCACATCTGAGTGGCGAGCTAAATTTAAATGGACGCAAGTTGAAAGAGTTTCCTCGAACGGGAGGAAAATATGATCTTACTGACACTGTCTTGGCAGGTGGGCCTCTCTTCTCATTGTCATATATTATTTGGTGATCACTTTACGATCATTTTACATCCAATGGTACTGCTTCGTAACTTCAGTTAAGATTGAGATATGTACCTCAGTGTTATATTCTGACATGGACTTTCATTACAAGTATGTGGAACACTTCTAAAGAAGATTCCTTGAAGCCGCTCTTGATAAAAGCTGACCTACGTGACATGAATGATAAAATTCTGAGGCAAGCCAAGGCCAAAGCTTTGTCTGGTCTGTCATACTAATTTATAATTGTGCACATCCTTCTACCAGCTCAGATTTATTTTGTGTAATTCGGCGAAATTGGCTACTGAGATTTATCATTAGACAGTCACAAGTTTTTAGAAAATATATTCAAGTACATATCATCTGTTCAAAAGTAACATAATAGAAAAGATTTATGAAACTGACACAAATAGTGCTATTCATACTGACGGTGGTAAAAGTGAAGTAATTAAGATTCATTGCTGAATTTTACAAATTAACATGTCTTTCACATCCATCCAAGAGATATTTAGCTATTTGCTGCAAAGTAGTGGTGGTTATTGACTCTAGATCATGTGATTTAATAACCTCATTGGCCTTTAAAATGTAGATGCCACGAACTATTCAATTTTCACGCATCATCCATTAGTACAACCGGACTCAACCATGAGTTTAGACTGAGAATGTTGGCTTCATACATTTCTGATGAAAAGTACCGTTAAAATCTTTTTTTTACTTCCCTGTTTGCCACAGTAACCCTCTCTCATATTTTTAGTGACACAACACTATTATACCTAGGTTTTTGGCATCGTTTTCCAAATTTCTGTGAAATGCCTATTCTAGGTGCCTAGGCACCTAATGATCAATGAATATCAGGTCAAGGAGCTCCTCTGATGGTGTCCATTTAATTTCATGTGTATTTTTCAGATTTATCAAAGAACCGGTTCAGTGAGCTACCAGTGGAAGTTACCAAGTTTTGGTTTCTAGAGAAGCTAAAACTCTATCACAATGTCATTCGCTCGATTCCTGCTGCTATCGTTTGTCTTCAGTCCTTGACCTACCTTGATCTCAAGTGAGAAACAAAACTTTAAACCTTTTTTTCAACTTCATTTTACTTGACAATGAAATTAACGGCCATCATCCTTTCCAAACTTTCTGCCACTTAAATTGAGCTCCCAGAGAAAATTTTTAATAAATCACAAAAAGCGCCAATTTTTCAAAGAAGGCCAAGTTCCTAGTTCATTGCAGTTGCATTTAAGCAGTTGTTTTGTGAGTTGAATTATGTGACTATTGCAAGAATACTATATGTACCTCTCAGAGCTCAATGTAAGTGACTGCTAGAACTGGGGAGAGGAAATATGGGACTAAAATCACATCAACCGGTATGCATCAGTCATTAGTTAGCCCATTGGATAGCATCTAAGTTTCTATTGAATGGTGCTATCTCCTGATGTGAGATTTGTCCAATCTTTTCTTTCCCTAGTTCTACCTCTGCATTATGGAGTTTTTTATGTGTGTACCTATTGTTACCATAATTGGTCAGAGAGGAAGTGATAAAATGTGTCTTAATCTTTGCCCAGGCAGCTCAGGGTCAGGAAAATCATGCTTGTGCAGAACAGCAACTCAGCAATCAAATTTTAAGCTCTAGTTCTGCATGTTTCCTCCATGATACATAACAAAATGGTGTCCTAACACCAGTATATTAACCAGAAATGATGATCTTGTAAAGTGCTGAATTTTGCCTTCCCTCACATTCACCCAGGATCAGGGCGCTTGTGCCAAAAATTAAAGTCTGTGGAGCCTTCACATGTAGCAAACTTTTGTGGAGGAATAGGTATCTTTGATTGGTACTTTTCTTGCAAAGTCCACATTTCGTGACCTTCCTGTTCAAGAGCTCCTTTGATTGACAACCTTTTTTCAAAGATTCACCATAATTTTAGGAACTGCTTGAAGTTCTCTCTAATCATAACTCCAATCCTGACCTGATTGAGCTCCTGCTCCTAATTTTTCTACACTCTGATGATTTCAACCTTTTTCATTTATTTTTCCTTCCAATCTGAAAAGTTTGTTTTGGAAGTCAAGGACTTTTTTTCTCCCAATACCTATGTCACCTGTAATATTTTTGCCCCATCAGTAAAGATTTTTCTCAAATTTTAATTTCAGTCGGAACCTGCTGACAACATTGCCAGGTGCATTATGTCAGCTTCCGTTGGAGATCTTGATTGTATCAAACAACAAACTGGTGGCCTTACCAGACGAGATCGGTCAGTGCGCATCACTCATGGATCTGGATGTGAGCTGTAATCACATTCGCCACCTTCCCCCACAACTTGGACAACTCAATGCGCTTCGATCACTCAATGTTAGAAACAACCTGCTCTTAGAATTACCTATTGGTAAGAGAATTTGAATGAGACAAGATACATTTCATTGCTTCATAAATAATCTCGTATGTAATAAAAACAAAATGCATCATGTACCAAAAGACAATCTTATTTGGCTTGTGACACAGCTTTGAATCAAATCGTCTATTAAGAATTTATTTCCCCCCATACTATCTGGCCTTATATGTCTGAATCAGTGTGATAAAGTTAATATCCGAAAAAATTAATTTTTCCCATTGCAAATCTTGATATTGATTTTTTATTTCCTTTAATGTTTTCCAGAAATTACGTACTTAAGGTTGGTGCAACTAGATGTGAGTGAAAATCGAATTGCAACTTTGCCGTTGGAATTGAAATCAATGACGTCTCTGGAATCCCTTGAACTGAACCATAATCCTCTAGTCTCCCCTCCTTCAAGTGTAAGTATGTTTTTTTTTTTGGCTTAAGTCTCTGAAGCTCACAATGGAAAAACCCTGATAATATTTTTGTGAAAATTGTGAATTTTTTCCATGAACTAGGGGGCTTTCTGCAGCCCAACCCCCCAGAGGCACTTCATGTCTCCAATGTACAGATATTGTGAGATCATTAGGAGTTAGGGAAAACCCGGTTTTGAGACAGCGGGAAGCATGTGAGCGTGCGCGGCAGGAGGGGAGCGGGGAGTGGAGAAGGAACCGGTTTGTAACATGATTAGCAAGACACCCTCAGTGTGAAACGGCACCCTCATGATTTTATATTTTAGAGTAAGATTGTGAAACATGCAGTCATTTTTATGTATGGTGGGAAAAAGATCAATGTGAATTTATTTTGAAAAAAGGAAATAAAATCTCTCAAGTTACAAACACTACCTCAAATCAGAGATGCGGAAACTTCTTGAAGGTGTTACTGGCGGATTGCACATGGCCGCAGACTGCAAATGGAATGGCTTGTGAAGGGGTTTTTAAAGTTAAAAGACCACTGCATGTAGGTGTGAAAATCTCGCGATCCGTGCAAAATCTCAGGACACTTTTAGGAAGACAGAAAGCAAATAAAAAATTTGCTGAGATTTGAAAAATTCTGATAAAGAAGGGATTCCCAAGGGAAGGCCAATCGATAAATTGAAAGACCAAAAACTTTTGTACCCCTTGCCTTTAATTGTTATTTCTATTGAAATGTGTCACCGCCATGATCTATTTTTCGGACTAGTTTCCCCGTCTAAAACAACAATTTCATTTATTAGCTATAAATGCTTAACTTCTCTTTGATTCCATGATTTTGGCTGAACCTGCCAATTTTTTTGGTCTATCAGTGACTGAGCAAATTAAAATCTAAGGTTTTGTAATAAATTCTGACATGTTTCCTCTCGCAGGTGTGCATGCGTGGACGTGTGCATGTTTTTAAGTACCTAGCATTACGGTCAATGAAAGAGGATGCTCAGCGGTCTGAAGACAACCGACGGTGCCATCGCAAATTATCAGAGTTAAGAGCCCGCCGCAACCACACGGACAGTGGTTATTGTAGTGCTGCAGGCCTCGACTGGTCATCAACAACTCTAAATACGGCCAGCGTTGCACAACTTCACAATTCAGATGAGGCAAGTCTATGGTCTGTGTATACCATTCAATAAATTTTCTTATGTCAAGATAAGGAGGAATTTCTAAAGAACAATTCGATGAACGTTCCTTAGCTTCTAACGTCTGTCCCTTGTCCACCCTTTTTACCTCTACTAATTTGTATCAGCCTCTGCCCTTTCCAATTTAAATCACAGTTTTCTTTCATGTACCTCACATTTATATTACTGGTTTTTCTCTTAATGAACATTCATTATGCGTATTACAGGGCCTGAATGAAATAGGCAAGAAAAGACTAGGTCGCTCAAGTTCAGAGCGAGAAGTCGGGCGATCGTCCAGTCTACGAACAAATACAAGTCCAGCTGGCATCAGGTGTAGTCGAAGCAGTCAGCCCTCAATTGATAGTGATAAAAACGGTGTTTCAAACGGTGTTGACTATGGAGACACCCGCCCTGTCCATCATATGCAGTCCTACAAAGAATATAAAGAAGCATTAAAACAGCAGCGTGCCATGGATGTGTACAAATCAAAAACAGAGTCAAAGTCGAACGCGAGTCCAGCCTCACCAAAGAAACCAGGCGGGCTAACGCCAGTGTCAGTACCTGCTGTGCCAGTGGTGCCTGTCTCTCCTGTTCAACTAGGTGCAGACGTCGTTGCCAAGAAGCCGGTGCAAAAGGTCCAGCCTTCGAGAATCACCAAAGCGGAGAGCCTGGATTCGCCGGTCATCGGGGTAAGAGATGTTTCTTCCACAGCTCTATTCTCTTGTTGATACCATTTTTTTTTTCATCAGAATGAACTTTTGGAACAAGTCCAAGCTGCATCAAGAATTTTAGACTTTTGTATGACAATCACATTAAAACTAAGGCTCATCAAAATAGAGTGTTAAAAGACTTAAGCTCATTATCTGCCACTAATTAATCGTGGTTTGCTAATATCCATTGACCAATAATGATGCCTTTTATGTTATTATTGCTGCCTCTCAAGGAAAATTCCCTCCATATTTTATTTTGGAAATTTGCAGCAAGTAAAATTTCAGATCCATTGAAATTTGCCCTATGCCTTAAAATAGTTTGCGGAGACTTCATGTATGATTTCAAATCTTAACAGTTTTAAAATCCTGAAGAACAGTTCTGATGGTTGCTCTGATATCTAGTATATCTATGCCTAGTATGTTATCTTTTGTCTGTTTTCTGCTAAGAAAACATTTTTGAATTGTCCTGAAACTTCCCTTTTTGCAGTAAATATAAAGTTTTTTTAATCAGAACACTCGATTATCAATTTTCTTTCTGTATTTTATGTATCTTGCAGAAATGAAAATAATCAAGTTTTCAGTGAAATAAATGGAAGTACTGAAAATTTTTGCATGTATTTTTTAGTACAGTAAGACCTCGATTTATCGGATTTCACGGGACCAGAGGCCGAATCCGTTGAACCGTGGAATCCGCTAAATCGCGCTAGTTGGTCCCGCTGAAGGGACCGGAGGATCGATCCGTTAAATTGCGATCTGATAATTTGAGGTCTTACTGTATAAAAATTTCAAATCAATTTTTTAGTATTGAGGTGAGTAATAATCCAAATTCGTAATTTTTTTTCCTCTGTCTTTTTCTTGAAAATGTTACAATCTTATTAAGAACAATTGCTTAAACATTTTAGCAATCAAGTCAAAATAATCAATAGAAAAACCTTAAATAAAACCAATTAGCAAGCAAGTGACACAATATCAACATTCAACAAGATACAAGCTTGATGACAGAGGATTGAGTTACAAAATGAAGAGATCAAAAAATGTGCAATGTGTGCTGATGCTGAATAAGTGGTAAGTAATTGTGAATCTATGAATGAGATTCGCATAACTACCTAGTGCAGTAGCTATTTCTATTTCTGTTTCTAGATTTTTATTTCCTTCTTGGTGGTAGTAAAAATTGATGGTTATTTGATAAGTGACTATTTGTGCCTTTCAGGACAATGTGGCTTACGTGAAGCCATCGCCGCCAAAAACTGGTGCAAATTTAAGCTACCCAGCAAACGTTGGTGTAGATGGACCACCACGACCAATGTGGAATCGAAGCAACATATCCCCAGAAAAGCTAAGCTTTACAATGCGGCGAGAGTTGGACCGTGCCAAAGAAGAGGCTCAGATTATCAGTCAACTAAGATCGGTCTGTATTTTAGTATCAATTTTAGTATTTCTCTTTAACTGAGATTCAGAACTATCCTAGCCTTCCCATTTTAAAAACCCTGGCTCCCCTAAAATTTTCAAGCCTGTGATCTTTGTTCTGCTCTTTTTGTAAAATATTCTGCAATTTTGCAGAAAACACGATATTTTTATTGTAATTTCGCAGAAACTTGAAGATTATGCGTGAAGCTTTTATTTTCAATCTGATGCCAGCCAAGTCTCCCATTTTTAAACCCCTTCTTATCTTTGTGCTCAACCATTTGCGACCCGCTTGTTGCATGGTCTGAATTCAGCAGATACCTTGAGCTGATGCCATCTCTAAAAATCTTTTATTTTTTCTAAATTTCAAATCCTAGACTAAACTTGATTTATAGGGAACAGCATACAAGCACAGAAAACTACTTCAATTTCGGGTTGGTTCTGGAAAATTCTGATTTTCTCATCAAAATTTAATTAGGTGTCTCCCTCCATCTTAATCTGTGTAGAAAAATTAACTGTATTGAATGCCATATGTTCTCAATTACGTTCCATGCCTCGTTTCCTGCCATTTCAACTTTCCTAGTGTCCTACATTTAGGCTTCTTTTAGTGCCATGTGCCTAACATTTTCAGTGAGCAGTTTTTGTGTTCGATCAGGGCTGCTTATTTGGCCCTTCCATTCATCTATCAGGGCGGATAGCTGAGCCTAGAAGGGGGAGGGGAAGGGGGGTAGGGTTTCCCACTTTGGACCTTTAAAAAAAGAGAGAAATCGGTAAAACCACTTAAGTGCCTTGCAGGACCACTTAACCTTTAGCTACGACCCTGAGATTTTTTTGTGATTTTTTTCTAACCATGAGACAATTTTTTGGCAAGTATCTCTGTTGGATTTTGCAAATTGTTTTTTTAAGGTCCAAAGTGGGACACCCTGGGGGGGGGGGGGGGCGCATGAAGGAGGTGTTTTGAATGGAGTTCTATGATTACGCTGATATGGATCAATTGGATTGATTATGGAAATATTTTTTGCATTAAAAGTATGTGAAAATTCTCGGAAATGCTTTAGTATAGGTTTGCTTTTGCTTTATGTACCTTATCCATGTTCAAAACCTCATTGTGAGACTGTTGATTGCAGAATATTGAATCAAGATTAAAAATGGCTCTTCCAAGTGATCTAGCCTCAGCTTTGAGTGATGGTGTAGTCCTATGCCATTTGGCCAACCATGTGCGACCACGTTCCGTAGCCAGCATCCATGTTCCATCTCCCGCTGTTGTAAGTTTTTCTCTTTTTCTTTTTCTCTTTGAAAAGCTCTTGTTTTTAAATTTATTTTTGTTTCTGTTGGAGAGTTATCTTAAAAGTTTCATTTTCGCCTTATTTCAACATTTTTCCAATTTCATCATTCTTTTGAAAAAAAAAAATGGTTTTTTAAGGACAACTCAGACTCAAGAGATTAATGAACTAAGTAGCGCAACTATTTTCATATCCAAAGTATTCTATCTCGACTTTGATTTTTTAAAAGAAGAAATTTGCAACCAGTTGAATTCAAAACAACTTCCAGGTAATTGATTTTTTTCCAAAATGCGACTTGTTGCGTTTCTGTCAAAACCAGGCCGTATCACCTTTTTTTCTCCCAATAGAAAACTTTGAACTCATGATATCAAAGAAACTATTTTTAAGGTTCTTCAAGAATACAGACACTATCTTTCATGGAAGTCTATCTTTCAAATGAATGAGGTGCTTTAAACCAACGGTCCGAGAAAATTGATCGGTTTGCTAATCTTTTTGTCTTATCTCTGCAGCCAAAACTAACGATGGCGCGGTGCCGAAGGAATGTTGACAATTTTTTGGATGCCTGCCGCAGAATAGGTGTTGAAGAGGTAAGCCAATATTTATTTTACACTTATCAGTTGCAATAAAACCAAACTGAAACCCTACTTTTAACAATTTTGCATTTAGCCGAGACTTCACTCCTAAAACTTTGTGTATACAGTACCATCAAGGAAACAAATGATAAATTATTTGCTTTGTGGACCACTGTCACTTTACACATTCTTATTTTAGTACACATCGATGGCGAAAGTGTGGAACCACGTACCTCCATTTCGATGTTTCAAAATTGTGGCTCCTATTCCTTTTTTTCGAGGAGAAACAAGCCAACTTTATTTCTTGAAATTCATACAAAATATTCCGGTAATCAAAGAGAAAAATTAAGGAAGTTTTCGCAAAATTACTTTGACTAGTTTTCTGAGGAAAAAATTAAATATGACAGGAAGTCTGCAATGTTGCAAATGTCGATGTATTTTTTCACACTTTGGCCATTGATATGTTCCCTGTCTCAGGGGAAATCAATGATCTGCACCGGAGTGTATGCATTCGAAGGAAGGAATTTAGCTGTGGTGCAGAGGAATCCTTTTGCATCTTTTCCAGTTGTGCTTTTGGAATATGGGCCATGGAAGATATCATCAGAAATCAGAAACCAAAATGACTAACCCAAAAGGGTTTTGTTATGACAAATGCACAGCTAAATATCAGTCTTCAAAAATTTTCACTTGTTCCTGGAGGTTACTGGTTGTCTGATTCGTGAAATCAGTTGTTTCTGTTGAGATTCTGAGGCAGTGCACGCATTCGGCACGAAAAAATGTAACAAATGATTTGATAACTAGGGAGTTTTATTAGCCTGCTGTCCATTTATTTTTTGTTTTTCGCATGACTTTGGAAACTTGTATTCTCAGCTTCCCTCCTGTGTTCTATTTCTCAAGTACTAACTATTTTGACAACCCCGAAAAATTGTACAGACCTCATGCTTTAAATCGCTGGTTTTTCATAGGCTTTTCATGGTGTAGATAAATTGTTCCGGCAGGAAGTTTGAAAGTGGAGGAAAAGATGCCTTTTTTTCTAGCGTTCTAAAGAGAGATTAAAATCCAAGATAGGACTTGTTTGAATTTTTGCAATTTTATGATGAGCGTTTGATTTTTTATTAACTTAATAATAGGTGGAAATTGTGCACTCCCCCCCCCCCATTCCAGGTTTACCTTACTTCTTCAATTTTTAACTATTTTTTTACTTGTAAAAATTTTAGAAGCAAAACTACAGCAGGACAAACAGTGTCCTAGAATATTTAATCTCGATTTTTGAACTTCTGACAAATTAGGCTTATTTTCTCATTTCCTCAAACCTACCGCATGGGAAGTCATACCCTCACCTCAATGCTTCAAGTTGCAACAGTGCTTGCATGAACTGAAAGTGAAAGGTTCTTTTGAGTATATCTCTATGTAGATAGAGTATGTTTGCTTCATCATTATTATCATCAACTGCAGTTTTCAAAGGGTACATCTCCAACAGTATTAGACATAAAAAATCGGTGTATGTTTTTTATTTTCCATTAGTTTTCTTTTAAGCACAAGTTTCAACCATTTGAACTTGATTTGGTGACCTGTGTAATTGAAGAGTGAAAATTAGAACATCATAAGTTATATCTAATGTTGCTAAGATCGTGAATGGCGCTTATCACTGCAAAAAGACCTGCCTTTGCTTCCTGAAATTTTATCGCGATATCCTTACAAAAGCATAATATTAGAACAAGAATTGTTTTTCTCACACTACTAGCTATGCATTAAATGAGAGACAGTATAACGTGAACGCGCCTCGAAAAATAAGAATTTCTCCCTAAATGACTCATTCTAGTAATGAAAAGGAATGCCAGTGATACTTGGTGGAGTATTTGCTTGTTGGATCTGTAAAAGAAAGAAGATTTTTATCAACTTTCGACTCAATCACTGTGCTTGGCAGATCATGTAAAGCTGGCAAAATTTTCCAGCTGAAGTTAAGATTGTATCGGTATCAATGAACCATTTCATAGATCTCCCATTGTGAAGCTTCAAAAGGGTTGCAAGGGCTTGCCTCAATTTCATTCATGAATTTTATAAGAAATGTTATTACTTAGCTTTAGCATTGTATGTCATTTCTGCTGTATTGGAAAATTTTAACAGTAGATTTTGTATTGTGAAATGTTGGTAACATCATCATGCAAACCAAGCGAAGTCATCAGGTTTGCATGAATGTTGCAGTGTTTTGATTTTTCTCTTTTCAAACCTTGCAGCTAAGCCACATCCTTGTAATTAAAAACATTGAATTATGTCTTTATCCATTGCAATTGAAATGATGAGATCGACAATCTAAATTGTTAGCTTGTGTTTAGCATTGAATACGGCCATTAACTTATGAGGGTTACTTTGAGACTTTTCGTCTTTTGCAACAAAGGATTATATGTATACCTAGCCCAAAAACAGTTTTTCCGTTCAAAAATTTGTTTAATTTCACTGTCACTACACTGCGCCTAAGATCAGGTCACAATTTGGTAGTCATGTATTCAAAAGTATTTTGGAAGGTTTAAAGCAAAGAAGCCTGAAAGAGTTAAATGATAAGCTGTCTCCAAAAATAGCAGTGCTCTACTTTGACTGAGCGCTATGCATAAAATGCACAAAAAATTAGGCTTTGGCACCAAAAATTCAGAAGCACTGGCCAGAAAGGGCTCCAAAAAAACTGGTACAGCCATGATTTCTGTTGCATCCTTGTCCTTCTCAAAGAGTCGCGCTTTTTCATACAACATCTTTATGGTTCCCAAAAAATTAGACATGCTGGCAAAAAAATTCATAAAACTTTTGAGGTATAGCTGAAACATCGCCCTGTTTCTAAGTCTGAATGCAATGATGTAAGTCACAAATCAAAGGACGCAGAACTGGTCAGCTTCAAAATACCAAAGCCATTTGTAATTCAAGATCAAATTTCCAACGTTTCTAAGAATTTCCTTAGAAGAGACCAGGGTTTTGTTACAAATATGAATTTTATTGCTGTATAAAGGTCCTGTCAAAAAACATAAAATGGGATGTAATCACTGATCTTTTTTATTTTATTTTTTTATTTTGTGGTATTGAAGCTACTACTGGCTGTCTGAGAGTCTACCAATAAAATATTATTACTGAGGCTAGCCTTACATACTAAAATTGTTTCTTCCCTGTTTGGGCCTCTTATTCACTTTCAAAAACAGGAGTTTCAACCCACTATGGAGATTAAACTAGTTAGGTTAGGTCTTGTTAGGTTTTGTACTAACAAAGGATTGTGGCTTGGTTGCAGGGTTCGCTGGCGGACCGTGACGCCGTGGTTGAAGCGAGCGAATCAGGACTTGAGTCGCTGGCAGTCACCGTGGCGACCATGTTGCAAGTTGCCGAAGCTCCCCCTCCCCCCTCAACCACCCTGTCCACCTGCCTGTGTCTCGCGACGTTTTTTCTCTCACTCATCCTCCTCATCTTTTACCCACTAGACTAACCTCAGGAATTCAATCAGATTTTGAAGAAAAGAAGATTTCAATGGAAGTTTGAACATTTTCAAAATACTCAAACCTCTTTCATGATTCAGAATCAAAATTAACTACCGAAAGATGGGTAAAAAATTCCTTCATTCTGTGAGAAATTTAGTCTTGCAGAAATCGAGTTGAGCAGAAAATTGCCTGACAAATTCTGCCCAAGTCTTTAAGTTTGACTTTTCAATTAGGAAAAACTTAATTTGTTATTATGCAAATAATACTAACAGCATGAAAATTAAAGCTACCACCCGTGTAGCCAATAATTTCCTGGTGCAAATTCTAACAAGGGTAGCTGTGAAACCTCTTTCATGAGGCCTTTAGAATTAGTGGATGCTTTGCTAAAACGATCGGCAACGACCTCTATTGTTTTATGTTGAAACAAGTATTATTTTTGTAAGCGAAATTTTTTTGTCTGAATTTTCCTTTCAGTTAAGGAGCCATTCAAGGGTGCATTCTTTTTTACTTGTTTTTTCTTTCATAATAATTTTTTTATTCCTTTTTCGTCAGAGTGGACAGTACATAATACGTCTGTAATTTAAGTTGTGTTTTAATTCAGATTGTGATGAAGCTGAAGGTAAGGACTGATAAAAGAAAACATTTTTACCCTTTGTGGCTGCTTTGAAATGTATAGACTGGGTATTCTATGAAGTATTTTTAATTCTTTTTTAAGCAATTGGAAAGTGTATTCCTAAATCCTGTAGTTTTCTAAAGGCTTTGAATCATCGGTGATGAATTGAATAGAGTAAAAAAAATGTTTTTATGTAAGATCTAGTTCTAAATTCCAATTATCAAAAATGAAGGGGTTTTTAAGGTGTTTTTCATCTACAAAATTATGATTTAAACTCCTGTTAAATTTGGAGGAATTTAAAAGTTCCTCTTATAGTACAACTGCTTTACATGTATTCTATCGTAGAACTTCCCCTCTGAGGAAAAAAAATTTTGCATGAAAGAAGTAATACATTGTCAGGGTGTCTACAGGTCTGGAAAACTATGAATTGTCAGAAACTTTCATCAGGTCAGGGGAATCAGGGAAAAGTCAGGGAATTTTATGGAAAAGACTGGAGATATGAAATCTGGAAAAATATCAACACTGTTCACGCCATGATCTAAAGCCTCAGTCTGGTTTTAGGCTGAATTGACCTGTTGCAAACTTTAGCCAGAGCGAAAAGGAGATTTATTTCTTTTAGAAAAGTGCTGAAAAATCACAATGAGTGCAACAGGAAAGTTTGAAATACACTCCTAACTCCACAATCTGCGCAAGAAATATGCGTTTTTGTAAGCTTCCTGCTTCAATACCGATACTAGGGCCCAGATTAACATTTCGTAAGAGAAGTTGTTCCATTCAATCCTTGCGCCCTAGGATGCTAGTATTCAGTATAGCTGACGCTAACCTGCCAAAACATATGTGAGGAAACGAGATTTTATCCGCCAGCGTGTTTATATTTTCACTTTCCTTGCATTAATAAAGAAAGATCATGGTGCTTCCTCACAATTTGCGCGCGGAAGCGTCAGCCGTGTCAAATATTGGGTAGCATCCTATTGCGTAATTGTTTTTGAAGCAGGAAGCTCAAAAAGACGCAAATTCCCTATGAAAATCATAGGAGTGTAATTCAGACTTTCCTGATGTGCTCATCAAGACTTTTGAGCCATTTTCCGTAAGAAACAATCCGTCTGTTTGCTCTAGCTGAAGTTTGCAACAGGCCCACACTCTGAGATATATTGTGAACAGGATACAGAATAATAAGCTTCAATGAGGAATTGAAATTTTGGTCACTTGAATGACTAGTACCTGAAGAAAATAGGTTCACGTGTCTTATCTCTGTCATTCGCAATGAACTTAATATCAAAAATTTTGCATTTTTTGTTTGCATGTAAATTCTTAATGTGAACAGTCTGGGAATTTGGTCAATTTGGCTCTGGAGAAGCCTGGAAAAGTTGGGGTTTTTTTTTTTTCTCTCAGAGTCTGTAGACACCCTGACTGTGAGCTGACATGAGCTAAATCAATTGCTTTTAAAATTGTGACACCTATTTGTACAGAGCAATCCATTATCCACTACATTTGATGATGCCTCCAATCTCTTGATAATCCTAACATCTTCTCCTAGGACTAAACAAGGATATTTTATGCTTCCAGTCATTTGCACGATGCAAACAAATAATTTTTCTGCGACATAAGTTTTTTACTTGTGTTTTTTTTTTTTTATGTTTCATGTCTTTTATGTATTTTGGTGTTCATACCCTAGTGGTTATCATTTTTTTTTAAAAAATTTCATTTAACATCTCGTGCCGATCATGGTAAATTAATGCAATTTAACAACCGTGTTGAATATTTCATGAAACATATTATAAAAAACATCAACTTAAAATTTGCTTGGCAATGATTAGTTATTTAAATAGAAGTAAAATTGTCCCACTAGTGCATGCCTGTCATATCCGTTACAATTTTTTTTTGTTTCAAGAAGACAAGTGCGTAACTGATCTTAATGGAAAAGATGACCCCATTTTTACTCCAACATTTACTTATTACCCATTTGTTTCCATTGACTAAATACTCTGGTATTTACTTTATTTTAATTAGTTCATGTAATATTTTTTACTATGTTTCTCCTTTCAACGGATTTCTTAACTCAGTTTTCTTTCACCTTTTATCTTTGCTAATCCCTCTAGGTAATATTAATGGTAACTATACTATTTTTACATTGATACCTATGTTTTTTTGGCATAGAGTAAATAACTGTGCAGTTTCCTCTGCATTTTTAACAAGTTGCATTTAACTCAGACCAAAGATAAAAATAATTATTCAAAATAACTTATTTTTAATACTTTGAAGAAACAAAGTTCTTATTTTAATTTTTAAACATTGCGCATATTTTCTATGTAAATACTGGTCACATTCAAAGAATGGCCAATCTCAGCATCACATACAACTTTATAGTTCACATACATGATTGTGACGAGTGCTGCATCAGAACAATATTAATGAAAACTGATGGTAAAAAAATTAAGTTTTGTCTATGACTTTAATCACTATGCGCACTCCTTGCTTTTTATCATTGAAATTTTCTGATGTATAAACATTTAAAAATATAGCAAAACCATCATTAGAAGTCTGAATTCCACATTTTGGAACAAAACCTCACCTACAGGGTAGCCCAAACCTACCCTACCAGGCCCTTTTTTGGTTATTATAGGTCTAACAAAGTCCAAGCTTGCAGAGATAAATTGGAAATCGACCCCAAGGAATCGAATTTCATGGTCCCAAAGCCCCCCCCCCTCACCCCGGCGGCCCTTGAGGGGGTTAAAGGGAAGTCTGTACTTCAAAAGTCAGGGTTTATATAATCAGAATCAGAAAATACGAAAATTTTTAACTTACTTGACACCAAGGAATCAAAAATCGGCCCATCTCTGTCCAAAATACCGACCCCTAAAGGTGGGGGACAGAGCCCCTTTTCAAAAAATTCAAGTTCGTTAAATTGACGTGGAGACTCGGGCGAAATGTGTATTCGAGGGTAATCAACCCCAGGGAATCCAAATTTGAGGGTCCCGTTTTCCTCAGAGACTTTTCTGATGGGGCACAGGGGGACTCTGAACTTTTAAATTTAACCAGTGTGGGGGTTACCCCAGTGCCCCATCAGAAAAGTCTCTGAGGAAAACGGAACCCTCAAATTCGGATTCCCTGGGATTGATTACCCATGAATATACACATTTCGCCCAAGTCTCCTTGTCAATTTAACGAACTTGAATTTTTTGAAAAGAGGCTCTGTCCCCCACCTTTAGGGGTCGATATTTTGGACAGAGATGGGCCAATTTTGGATTTCTTGGTGTCAAGTTAAGTTAAAAATTTCCATATTTTCTGATTCTGATGAAATACTTTCAAAATTTTGACATAAACCCTGACTTTTGAAGTACAGAATTCCCTTTAACCTCCCAAGGGCCGCCGGGGGGGAGGGAGGAGGGCTCTGGGACCATGAAATTCGGATGTCTGGGGTCGATTTCCTATTCATCCCTGCGATCCTGCACTTTGTACGACCTACATTAACTGAAATAAAGGCCTGGTGGGGTAGGTCTTGGCCACCTTGTATATCAGAATGTTGTCAAAAAACAATACTTTTAAGCAGTTTTAGCCTTTTTTATGTATTCCTGAATCAATATGGGGCTTGAATTTACAATCCACTCAAAAATTTACAAGCCTCAAATTTTGATTTTTTCAACGCTTATTTTTGTTTCCATTGAAATTTGCATCAATCGAGTGATAAACTATTTTTCATTTTCATAAGTGCATTTATCCATCAGTGGAGTTTAGTCTTAAGGACCAGATGTACTTTTTCAATACTCCTTTTTCCCCCATGTGTTTTTTTTTCTTCTTCTTCTTTTTTATTATGAGAAGAAAAACTAATTCTCTTAATCTTAAATTTATTTTTGTTGTATTTGCTTCGATTCTATTTTGATTAACTTGCACTTAAAATATGTAACCAAAAATTTTTTTAGTTTTAAGTTAATTTTAAATTAGTCGGTTATCTGGTTTTTAAGAATTAAGATCAAACAGTAGAATGTAGTTATTTTATGAAACTTATCTCTCATTTTGGTTCTCTGTGAATACCACCGATAGGTTTTAAGAATGATAAATTTCAAGAAGGCATAATAATTTTTTGACAACTATCTCCCAGATCCTTTATCTTTGTCACACTTGACACTCATTAGATCACCAAACCCATGCTATTATTTTGACAACTTCCTCCTCGCACTGTATCTTATTGGTAGAGTTTAATTTTAAAAATTTCAAATTTAAGGAAATTGGTACTATTAGCAATTGTTGAGGATATCTTTTTTAAGGTGTGTTCACATGAAGTTAGATGTTTTACTTCTGAAGCTATTTGGCCTAAGATGCGTTGGAAGAAATGTACATTTTCAGTAAGGATTTTTAATCCAATGGAGCTCTTGTATGCCTCAGGGATTGGCAATTGAAGCACTACATCTCAAGTAAAATCTCGGGGAAAACATGATGACGCCTCTGGGTTTCTCTGAAACAAACTCTCACATTCAAAAAAATCTCTCAAAGTTGAGGCCGTGGTGAAGGAGATCTCCCACGCTTCACTGAGAGTTCATATCTATTTTCAATCAAACTCTCTATGCACAGCTAGGGATCAAATACATGAGCAGAGTTGTCATGGTTCCATCCTCGGGAGTTCCTAAACAAAGTGGCAACACTGCCAATGTATTTGCTCCTCAGAATTGCATGAAGAGTTTCACTGCACTTAGAGGTGGACTCTCAATGCAGCGTGGAGGATCTTAATGACAGCTTGAGCTTTGGAGTTGGTTAAAAAAAAACTAGTGGCACCATTGTGTTTCTCGCAAAATTTTTCTTAAAATGAAGTACTTAAATTGCACATCCCTGACGTATACAAGAGCAGCATTATTTCTCCACATTTTAAGAAAATATTAGGCTATCATTTAACTGAAAGGTAGATTAAGGTCAGTGGAAGAAGAATCTCCTAGGTAAACGAACAAAAAAAATGAATTTTAAGTTTTTGGAGCAAATTGTATTTGTTTTTGTATAATGTCTGATGTGAAATGGCAAAGGTAAAACAAAATCTTCAAACTGGCTTAAGCCATTTATTAGTATCATAACATTTAATCAAGTCTCAATAATTCATAACATTTTGCGAGTTTTTTGGTTGTGTCGAGTAGAAATATTCCTGATGTATTTTTTTAATTCATAATTCCATGCTTAGTATAATAATAAGTTTTTGCTTTCTCAGCCAAGGAGAATTTCTGCAAATTTATAGCAGAGACATTGCCTCTGTGAATGTCTCTTTAAACCTGTTGATCTCAGTTGTGCATCTTACATCTCAGTCAGATTGTATTATATTTTAATCCCTTTTCCTTTCCAAATATTTGTGTCTATTTCCTCTCAAGCACTCCTCATGTATTAATACTCAGCTTTAGTAATTTTGAAGTCAAATCAGCAGTGGCACAGTGCACATTAGGACTAAGTACAAAAAAGAAGCGACATTGAAAGACAGGACTAAATGATGAGTTACCAAAAATTAATTTTTGATATTGGTTAGTGGCTTAGGTAAGAGCTCAGAGCTCAGGGCAAGGCGAATGTCTTAATTGTAACGTTTTTTTCATATCGTATTCACTTGAATTGTCAAACTCTGTTGTTTGCTATTGGAATGGAGACACTTTCTACAGTATGTATCATCTGTAGTACATATGCATGCACACTCACTCATTACTTCTACATTATCAATCTGTGGCATGGAAAGGGAAAAGGGTTATTTGTCTCTACGTTTTTACTTTAAGTAATACAATTCCAAGTGAAAGAAAGATTGAAATTAAATCGGGGAATTTTTTTTTTTTTTGCTGATTGCCTGTTCCCAGGATACTGCTAGATGAATAGAGGGGGAAAAATATGCTTCCTTCGCCTTTTTAATGGTGATCTTTCTAAGATAAAAAACCAGTCTAGTCTACTTTTAAGATTTGAAGGTACAGATGGAGCATAAATTGAAAAGTGAGTTGCTTATTGAAACCATGATGATATATTCTTTAAAGGACTTTTAGCAATAAAGAAGTTTGTTCAGAGGCCTAGCAAGAAAGGAACAACAAAGTTTCAATAATGATCCAGTAAGATAAGTGCATTCTACCCATCAATTGCCCAGTCAGTAGGTGGGCCAGGTTTGATAGTCAGCACTCATCTATAAAAGTGGCTATCTATAAAAGTGGCTATCATATATCTATAAAAGACCAAAGTTTCATCAGTACTTAAAATATCTTCAGTGAAAACTGTACGCTTACTCGAGAGCAGTAGATGTAGTATTTAGATCAGTATTTTCATTCATCTCAAGTGTACGTTTCATTCTTTTGCTGTAGACATAAAATCGAACTTCATTTTGGAAATAGTTGAAGGGTACTGTTTAAAAATTGTTAGCAACTGAAAACCCCTAAAAGTAGAGCAACAAATAGCATATTATCAGTAGTGAAGAAATTTCAGTCGCTAAACAGACTTCTCTAGATTCTCAAAGAGAGTCCACTGTGTTGCGCACAAATTTCTACAGTTTGCTCAAAGACTCAAGAGTCTTATTTACATTTGCTCTTTGATAGTTGTTCTTTTACTTGCCCTTAATAACTATTTAGACTGAGCATCTCTCGTTTTTTGTGTATGTTGGTGAAAAAACAAATCAAATCGACAGCAATATTAATATTTTCTCTCTTTCTATTGTCATTTATCAGCATTTGCTCTAATGATTTTATCTGCCTTTCTTAATGATTAAAAACAAAATTAAAAGTCAATTTGTATTATTTTTGTCATTTGTTCTATTTCAAATGAATTTCAATTTAGCATTGTGATGTTTAAAGAAAATGTCAATCTGTTAAGGTTTCCATTCTGTTGGTAAAGTTACCTAAAAGTCAAGTTCATGCTTTTAGAATATTTTTGAATGTTTTACGTAATGATAAAAATGATGCGTAGATGATTCTAGTCATTGTTGTTTGTCTAAGGTGAACAAAAATTCTAAAGTTTCATTTGAAGAATGATTGAGCAGGGTTTGTTTAATTTTTTTTTTTTAAAAAAAAGAAAAATTCAGGAAGGCATGTATTATCAAAACCCTAAGATGTTGGCTGCTTACAGTTTCCAGAGAATCGACAGGAAAGTTTTGACATCTAAGTTCACTTTTCCATGAAAATTGTTGCTGAATATTTCAGAATTCAAAGATAATTTCTTGTTATCTGATTTAATGCATTTTCAGAAATGTTATTTCATCCTGTTAATATT